CCGAACCAATCTGTAAGCTAGCTTCCAAACACTCTCAACAAACCATACAAACCTCCGAACCAATCTTTAAGCTAGCTTCCAAACACTCTGGACAAACCATACAAACCTCTGAACCAATCTGTAAGCTAGCTTCCAAACACTCTCAACAAACCATACAAACCTCCGAACCAATCTGTAAGCTAGCTTCCAAACACTCTCAACAAACCATACAAACCTCCGAACCAATCTGTAAGCTAGCTTCCAAACACTCTCAACAAACCATACAAACCTCCGAACCAATCTGCAAGCTAGCTTCCAAACACTCTCAACAAACCATACAAACCTCCGAACCAATCTGTAAGCTAGCTTCCAAACACTCTGAACATACCATACAAACCTCGAACCAATCTGTAAGCTAGCTTCCAAACACTCTCAACAAACCATACAAACCTCCGAACCAATCTGTAAGCTAGCTTCCAAACACTTTGGACAAACCATACAAACCTCGAACCAATCTGTAAGCTAGCTTCCAAACACTCTCAACAAACCATACAAACCTCCGAACCAATCTGTAAGCTAGCTTCCAAACACTCTCAACAAACCATACAAACCTCCGAACCAATCTGTAAGCTAGCTTCCAAACACTCTCAACAAACCATACAAACCTCCGAACCAATCTGTAAGCTAGCTTCCAAACACTCTCAACAAACCATACAAACCTCCGAACCAATCTGTAAGCTAGCTTCCAAACACTCTCAACAAACCATACAAACCTCCTCAACCAATCTGTAAGCTAGCTTCCAAACACTCTCAACAAAAACCATACAAACCTCGAACCAATCTGTAAGCTAGCTTCCAAACCTCTCAACAAACCATACAAACCTCCGAACCAATCTGTGTAAGCTAGCTTCCAAACACTCTCAACAAACCATACAAACCTCCGAACCAATCTGTAAGCTAGCTTCCAAACACTCTCAACAAGCCATACAAACCCCTGAACCAATCTGTAAAGCTAGCTTCCAAACACTCTCAACAAACCATACAAACCTCCGAACCAATCTGTAAGCTAGCTTCCAAACACTCTCAACAAACCATACAAACCTCCGAACCAATCTGTAAGCTAGCTTCCAAACACTCTCAACAAACCATACAAACCTCCGAACCAATCTGTAAGCTAGCTTCCAAACACTCTCAACAAACCATACACAAACCTCGAGACCAATCTGTAAGCTAGCTTCCAAACACTCGACAAACCATACAAACCTGCGAACCAATCTGTAAGCTAGCTTCCAAACACTCTCAACAAACCATACAAACCCCCGAACCAATCTGTAAGCTAGCTTCCAAACACTCTGGACAAACCATACAAACCTCCGAACCAATCTGTAAGCTAGCTTCCAAACACTCTCAACAAACCATACAAATCCCCGAACCAATCTGTAAGCTAGCTTCCAAACACTCTGGACAAACCATACAAACCTCCGAACCAATCTGTAAGCTAGCTTCCAAACACTCTCAACAAACCATACAAACCTCCCGAACCAATCTGTAAGCTAGCTTCCAAACACTCTCAACAAACCATACAAACCTCCTCAACCAATCTGTAAGCTAGCTTCCAAACACTCTCAACAAACCCATACAAACCTCCGAACCAATCTGTAAGCTAGCTTCCAAACACTCTGGACAAACCATACAAACCTCCGAACCAATCTGTAAGCTAGCTTCCAAACACTCTGGACAAACCATACAAACCTCCGAACCAATCTGTAAGCTAGCTTCCAAACACTCTGGACAAACCATACAAACCTCGAACCAATCTGTAAGCTAGCTACCAAACACTCTCAACAAACCATACAAACCTCGAACCAATCTGTAAGCTAGCTTCCAAACACTCTCAACAAACCATACAAACCTCCGAACCAATCTGTAAGCTAGCTTCCAAACACTCTCAACAAACCATACAAACCCCCGAACCAATCTGTAAGCTAGCTTCCAAACACTCTCAACAAACCATACAAACCTCCGAACCAATCTGTAAGCTAGCTTCCAAACACTCTCAACAAACCATACAAACCCCCAACCAATCTGTAAGCTAGCTTCCAAACACTCTGGACAAACCATACAAACCTCCGAACCAATCTGTAAGCTAGCTACCAAACACTCTCAACAAACCATACAAACCCTCCGAACCAATCTGTGTTAGCTTCCAAACACTCTCAACAAACCATACAAACCTCGAACCAATCTGTAAGCTAGCTTCCAAACACTCTCAACAAACCATACAAACCTCCAGAACCAATCTGTAAGCTAGCTTCCAAAACACTCTGGACAAACCATACAAACCTCCGAACCAATCCTGTAAGCTAGCTTCCAAACACTCTGGACAAACCATACAAACCTCCGAACCAATCTGTAAGCTAGCTTTAAACACTCTCAACAAACCATACAAACCTCGAACCAATCTGTAAGCTAGCTTCCAAACACTCTTGGACAAACCATACAAACCTCCCAACCAATCTGTAAGCTAGCTTCCAAACACTCTCAACAAACCATACAAACCCCTCGAACCAATCTGTAAGCTAGCTTCCAAACACTCTCAACAAACCATACAAACCTCCAACCAATCTGTAAGCTAGCTTCCAAACACTCTGGACAAACCATACAAACCTCGAACCAATCTGTAAGCTAGCTTCCAAACCTCTCAACAAACCATACAAACCCCCGAACCAATCTGTAAGCTAGCTTCCAAACACTCTCAACAAACCATACAAACCTCTCGAACCAATCTGCAAGCTAGCTTCCAAACACTCTGGACAAACCATACAAACCTCCGAACCAATCTGTAAAGCTAGCTTCCAAACACTCTCAACAAACCATACAAACCTCCTCGAACCAATCTGTAAGCTAGCTTCCAAACACTCTCAACAAACCATACAAACCCCCGAACCAATCTGTAAGCTAGCTTCCAAACACTCTGGACAAACCATACAAACCTCGAACCAATCTGCAAGCTAGCTTCCAAACACTCTGGACAAACCATACAAACCTCCGAACCAATCTGTAAGCTAGCTTCCAAACACTCTCAACAAACCATACAAACCTCCGAACCAATCTGTAAGCTAGCTACCAAACACTCTCAACAAACCATACAAACCTCAGAACCAATCTGTAAGCTAGCTTCCAAACACTCTCAACAAACCATACAAACCCCCGAACCAATCTGTAAGCTAGCTTCCAAACACTCTGGACAAACCATACAAACCCTCCTGAACCAATCTGTAAGCTAGCTTCCAAACACTCTCAACAAACCATACAAACCTCCGAACCAATCTGTAAGCTAGCTTCCAAACACTCTCAACAAACCATACAAACCTCAAAAATTCACATTACAGACTAGTCCATCTCACAGTCCCTGAACCACATTATTTTCCCTACTGCCAAGCCTCTCTGCAGTGCTAAAGCCCTAAATAAAGCAAGTCTTGATTCTGAATCTCTGGTCTCCCTGGGGCTCCTTTTCAATTTAAATGGGCTTGTTTGTTTGTCAAAATTATATATGTTCAGGTGAGGGTGAGGGTGAAATTGTTTAACTATCAAAATTATATATATTCAGAGACTAAGCATTAGTCTAATTACAGACCACCATTTTGATATTTTATTTTTACACAAATCACATCCGTTGGAAGGGTATATAACTTCCTGGTAACATGTTTTGGTTTCACTGACATTTCTACTGAGTCTGTTCTCTTGAGACTATTCAAGTTCTGAACACAGCATATGCATGTCATAAGCATGTAAGTGCCCTCTTTGTTAATTTCATCAAAGCTTGCACAGCACAACACATCCAATTAGTGTTTACACTGCTGGATAATTCCTATTGTCAGTCATGAAAGCCTGTTCTGTATGAATGAATAACACCTAATGGGTACACTGTTCACATGGATTCCTACTTTCATTAAACCTAAGTGAACCAGCTGGTGTATAACTGGTCATACAATACAGTATGTTCAACATTTCTTATGGAAATCAGCACATATGGAAATCATGTCAGTGTGTCATACATTTTAGATCAGATTACATAGACCATAGCCGAGAGCCGCGATGCGGTCCTATACAGTCAAGACATGACCCTGCATCGCATGGGATCAGATTACATAGACCCTAGCGAGCCGCGATGCGGTCCTATCGTATAGGACCGCATCGCAGCTCTCGGCTACATAGACCCATAAAATGTCTGTTTTCAGTTTGGCTTATGGAAATTTTTCCTAAAACCCCAAAAGTATGTCTTTATGTTTCCACACATGTATTTTCAGATATATGATAATACTTGACCCATTTCCCGAGACAAGTCGGGCAGGTTTCATTACTACAGAGTATTGGACACTGACTGTCCTATTTTGGGGTCAGTCATGTAGATGGGGCTAAGGGATAGGGAAATACATCAAATCTTATGTAATTGCATCTGGTTAAAGGCTTGTCACATTTTTAAACTTATTTCAAAATTAATTGGGATTATCAGCAGTTTGCTAACTCTGGAATTGATGTTTTCCTGCCCTACTTTTACATTAGCCAGACCACAACACAGTTGTCGCCATAGCCTGATGCAGCACCTACAGCAACACCCGCCCCCACCATGCAGCAACATCCACCCCATCAAAACAAACCGAGCAGCTAGCAACTTCACACACGACGTCTATGTAACTCACATTCTTTGTCCAAACTAGACTACTGAGGAGTGTCAATTTATTATTGCTGAATTATGCTACACATTCTGACACCCAGTTCCGCAGTGAATTAACAGTTATTGCATGTACAGATGAACTTGTTGAACATAACCTCAACAAATGACACAGGTTAAATTAACGTATGACGAATGACAAGTCACTTGGTCAGAGATAAACACTGTAAATAGGCCAGGGAATCGCCCTGTGTTATGTGAACCATGACCTAATCAGGTCAGGAACGGGAAATGTCCATCTCTTGGCTGAATGCAGTATAAACACACGTAAAGCAGCAAAGCTTACCATATTTCACATGCGATCTTGCAAAATGCTTACTCCTGATGATGTTTCTTCCGAGACTCGCCATCGTGCAGTTTCGGCCGATCAGCTGCCCTGAAGTTCGATGCGACTCTCGTAGATGGGCGGTTCAATCCGCCGACAGCTGCCTAAACCTCTGTCGGTACACACGCGCTCATTGGACAGTACTTACACGGTGGGGAATAACAGGGCCGGCCTATGACATGTGTTGAGAAATCCATGAATGATTGTGTAGTTATCGGTTTCAATCAATTGACCGACATATGTTGCAATGTCTTCGTGACGGACCGTCACTGACTCTTGGCCTGACTGATTCTGGGCTGGATAAATGTGTACAAACATATCCATCCTGTTATGTGTTGATTCCCAAACTAAAACTGAAAAGAAACTAAAAAGTAAACCGAGAATCGTTCCGTGAAAGAAAACGGTGTGAAACCAACAAATAGCAAAGCAACATGATATAATGGGTTGTAGGCAAATGGGTCGAAAAAATGTCAAATGGGCCGTGACCAAAAAGTAAATAAGTATATGTACTGCCATAAATGCAAAGACATGCTTGGCAAGTACCATTGTATTATTGTTCTGATATTATGTTTTATATGTCAATAAAAAATGAAAAACATTTGTAAACTTTTTGTTGTTGTTCGGCCCAACTTTTGTTGTTATTCGGCCCATATGACTAATAATAAGTCCCTTTTGACATTTTTTCACGGCCCATTTGACTTTATCCATCGGCCCATTTGACTTGGCACTTCTCGGCCCTTTCGTCCTTCGGCCCATTTGACTAGATCCCGATATAATTAACATTCTACTATTAACACCTGAATACTTAGGCATCACTATGGCAGTACAAAACAGAGTGGCTGTACAAATTCAAAGGTAATAGTATAATTCAATAGTATACAAGAGCAGTGATTATAGCAATAAACACAGTGATGATAATATGGTGTCGTCTCAGGACGCCGACCTTTTGATTTTCCACTAGTCTCAGGACGCCGACCTGCGGTTTCCTTTGAAGGTTAGGTTCTAATTAGGCTTAATTAGCGTCGCGGATAATCTACTCTAGATGTTTTGATAAGGTGAACTCGTCGCACATGTCACTTCCAATTGATTGAAAAGTTTACAATAACACTTAGTAGAGTGCCAATATTGAACACTGTTCATATCTCTGGTATAAATATCTATGGAATGGCAAAAGGATTCACGTTCGATTTCGAAATGGCAAATGCACAGCTAGATCAGAGATTCATCCTTACAGCTCGCGGCAGTCGTTACTTGGTTGTTGGCGGGTTCATGTACAGAGTCAGCAAGAGAAAACGAGACTGGATATCTTGGATATGTACTGCAAAAGACTGATGAAGACCGCTGCCGACAACTCGGAGACTACATGACCAACTTCTGGGTGGAGGGAGATCTGCCCATGACGCAATGGAACCACCACAACACAGATGGGCCAAGAACAAACAACCACCTACAAGGGTGGCATTCACGCCTGAAGAAATACGTCGGCAAGGCTCATCCAAACATTTTCGAGATTGTGTCGTTGCTGTCACAAGAACAGACCAACACCGAAAAGAAGCTGGTCCAGTATGCTGCTGGCCAGAAGCGTCCGTCCAAGAAGAGGAAATACAGGGATTTGGAGCGAAGACTGGATGACATTTGTCACCAGCTTGAACAACGAACACTGTCCGTGAGGCAGTTTACTGATTCAGCATCCCACCTATTGCATTTAGGTTAAAATCTGTGAAAAAATGTATGCTATATGAATTTACGATGTATTTATTAAAAATGCTAAAATCGGTCAACTGATGAAACTCTGTCATCTGTTGTCATCTTCTCATTAGGTGCGCTCTGATCCGCATATTCCGGATTATCCTCCTCTAACAACTCCTGCATTGTCCTCGTAATCCAGTATTAATTGGCAAAATGAAACTAGTCTCAGGACGTCGACCTTTATATTTCACTCAACCGTAAACTTTGGTCGAAAGGTCGGCGTTATGAGCCTGAACCGATAATATATACCTCACAGCAAGAGAAATTCAGCTTGAACCGCCTCCGTGGTGTAGTTGTTAGAGCGTCCCCCCGGAGAGCGGAAGGTCGCGGGTTCGATCCCCGGCCGCGTCATACCAAAAGACGTTAAAATATGGTACTTGTTGGTCCCTGCCTGGCGCTCGGCAGTAATGGGTACAACAAGGACTGGTCGGCTCGGAGTCAGTATAATGTGTCTGAGTGGGGTATTCATGCTCCACTGCGGCATGGTATCTCAGTGGGCTAGCACTATAAAACCAGCTTAAGTCTGGGCTAGTACAAGCAGCCGCACATACACATACACACGTATGCACGTCGTCATATGAGCGAAATATTCTCAAGCACGACGTAAAACCCAATTTCACCTCACCTCACCTCTGAAATTCAGCTTGCAACTAGGACTAGGCGGGGTGTGATGATCAACACCAGGGGCAGATACAGCTTTTGAGAGGGTGGGGGTTGCACACTCCTAAGTAGGGGGTTTGCACACTTCATTCTCACCCCTTTTCACCGATCATTTACTAAACTTTCAGGACAAAGGGGAGGGATGCGCACTCCTGCAAACCCACCCACCCCAAAACCCAAACAAAACAAACAACAACAAAAACACACACCACACTCTGGACCCGCCTATGAACACTTACAATGCTGTCTCCCAGTGATATGAGATTTCATGTGAGATGAGCTGCAATTACAACACACATTACTCATTGATACATTCATACACTGATAATCTACACAGTAGATTATGACATTAAAATATTTATGTCAATGCAAATTTACGTAATTACTTTTACTACAACCATAAGAAATTTCTACTAAAATACCAACTAAATAATCAGCGTAGGTTCGTGAATGCCTGGTGTGACGTTGAGTTGGCCGGATTTCCAGGAGTCACATTAACATCGACCATCACAGCTATTCGATTTACAGAGTTGCGCCCCCTATACTATCCAGGATCCGTTAATCGTAAATCGAGTCTTAAATTCGCCACGATCATAATATTGGATTGTCAGATCATACATAGCCTCCAAATGAGTGGGTGAGTGAGTTTAGTTTTACGCCTTACTCAGCAATATTCCAGCTATATGGCGGCGGTCTCTAAATAATCGTGTCTGGACCAGACAATCCAGTGATCAACAGCATGAACATCGATCTGCGCAACTGGGAACCGATGACATGTGTCAGCCAAGCCAGCGAGCCTGACCACCCGATCCCGTTAGTCGCCTCTTACGACAAGCACGGGTTACTGAAGGTTCATTCTAACCCGGACCTTCAAGGGTTGTCTCCAAATGAGAACGACGAATTGGAATAGTCTGTTGAATGTCAATATGTAGCCTTGCTCCAAGGTTTTACTGAATGCTAAGCCCTGTTGAACCCCCTGAACACACACACACACACACACACACACACACACACCGATCCGACACTTGGGAGGGTCTTTTCTGTTTTGTGAATATGAACGGAACTTCATTATGGCAAGAATAATGCATACTAACGTTAAAAACCCCTGTAAAAACACGTTTACTTAAATGATTTGTTTTTATAGTACCAATGGCGAAATGTTTAGTTCACGACCTCAAATAAATACAATGTGCGTTTTCAATATTATATGTCGACTGAAAAGATATAACTACTTGACAATGATTAAATATCAAGCCATAAAATACAGAACTACAAAAAGCTAGCACAGCAGGGATTATTATCACAAAGTCAAAATGTAACCATCATGGGTGTTACCAAAAAACAGCATCCGATGAACTTCCAGAGTTCCTTCCATCTGTGTTGGTTAAACAAACAACACGTGCCCTTTGGTATATGAGATCACATGCAGTCACCGGCCTGCAGGCGGGTAGAGTGGTAGAGATGCGACCTAGATAGTACCTCAATAAAGACAGACCAGAGTGAAAGTCAAACAAATAACTTATTAATCAAGCCAGAGGTTACGTGAGTGAGTGAGTTTAGTTTTACGCCGCTTTTAACAGTATTCCAGCAATATCACGGCAGGGGACACCCAGAGGTTACGTAAAACAGACCTGGGTGCCGTTCGACTAACCGATCTTAGCTCTATGCCAATCGTAAACCCCTAAAATCCCAATCTTAGCATGACGTTACGATCGGTGTACCGTTCCACTAACCAATCTTACCTAAGTCAATCGTAAAGTTAAGATTCAAAGTCTAAGTTGCTCATGACCAACTTAGGATAGCTAAAATCAATCGTAGAGAAACCAAAACGGTGGCTTTCCTATATTCTATGTGAAAAATAAGAGCGAGCATTTCACCGTGAGCGTCCCCTAAAATCCCCCATGAAATGAATTTGTATATTTCTGTGATGTAAACAAACACTGCACTGAAACCTTACAAATGTCAGGCCAGTCTGACCACTGTCGTCATGGGAACACAACCGAGCGAGTCGGTGTGACACATTTGTACAACAATATTGCAACGTCATGGTTAAGAATAGGGACAGCCGTGAAGTGAACAATGTTCTGAAGCAAAAAGATACAAATATGTTTGATTTCACTGCGCATATTTGGTGGGGATTCTAAAGACAGGCCGCGTGTTATTCAAGACCACTGACAGATTCTACATACGTTGTATATAGCCTCGTCACTCCTTGTTTATTCTGATTGACAAGGTTCAGGCACATATTAAAAGCTCTGACACAATTGACATTTTTAAAGTCCAGACTTAAAACCTGTTCTCAGTATATTACTTATAATCTCGGCTGTAAATATTCTCGTGTAAATTATCTGTACACAGCGCTTTGAGCATGCCCAAGGATGTGGAATAGGCGCACTATAAATATGCATTTATTATTATTATATTATGCTTGATACCCAGCGTTCTCACGCACTTGCACCTGAAACCAAGGTGCTCACTACCCTAATATTTTGCTCTAGGTTTTTTCTCCACGTTTACACTTGGTTGGAAAAATACCCATGAAGGCCCAGGTTAGAATATTGAACTTCAATAACCCATGCCTGTCGTAAGAGGCCACTAACGGGATCGGGTGGTCAGGCTCGCTGACTTGGTTGACACATGTCATCGGTTCCCAACTGCGAAGATCGATGCGCATGCTGTTGATCACTGGATTGTCTGGTTTAGACTCGATTATTTATAGCTAAGATACATAGCGTTCACTAACATGAACGCTCATGCTAGTGAACGCTATGCATCTTAGCTAGATTATTTACAGACCGCCGCCATATAGCTGGACTATTGCTGAGGGCAGCGTAAATCTAAACTCACTCACTCACTCAGTTGGTTCGTAAACTACTTCCATCATTTGCTAGACTATGCAAAGGGAGATAACTCGTGCCTCGCATTCCTCTATCTCTCGCACGAAAGAGTCTCGATCTAAGCTTGGATCGGATCGTAAGATCGGGACCGGCTACGATCGGCCTAAGATCGGGTAGTGGAACGGGTGTAACTTTTAGCTAAGACGATTGTAAAATTGGCGTAACTTGCTAAGATTGATCTTAGATAAGATCGGTTAGTGGAACGGCACCCTGGAACTTTTTTCGATTACACACGAACATACTATGCAAACGTATCCATGCCGCAGTCTAAAAGAACAGTTATCGTCTCAGTAAATGATACATTTTTTATGAATAGGTACGCAAGACCTGCACTTATCGGTCGAACAAGTCACAGAAAAGCTAAGTGTTTTGTCCGTGTGGGATATGTTTTGTTTGTTGTTTAAAGCATTGCTCTGCAATATTCTAGCGATGGTCTGTAAATAGTCGAGTCTGGACAAGACAATCCAGTGATCAACAGCATGAGCTTCAGTCTTAACCATGTGAGGAGCCTGACCACCCGACCGCGTTAGACACATCTTACGACAAGCATGGGTTGCCGAAGACCAATTCCACCCAATTTTTTAGGGGTCCATGACATGTCCCGAAAGGTCAAGGTTAATAGTTGCACGTGGTGCTGGTTCGAGGCCGTAATGGTAACTTTGAGGACCATATCCATCTTAAATCATGGTCCCATTCAAAGCACGTGCTGAATTGATGGTAATCTAATATGCACCCGCGCAGATGAAGGAAAGTCGTTTTTTTTAAAATTGTTGTTTACAAGTCAAAATTAGTCCAAGAAAGCATATTTCTATGCGATGATATGCATATAATATAAATTACGTCCAGAAATAGAATGTGTACACAATAGTGACGCATTATGTTTTTCTGCGTACTGGGGCGATGGGGGTAGCCTAGTGGTTAAAGCGTTCGCTCGTCATGCTGAAGACCCGGGTTCGATTCCCCACATGGACACAATGTATGAAGCCCATTTCCGGTGTCCCCAGCCGTGATATTGCTGGAATATTGCTAAAAGCGGCGTAACATTTTTTCACACATTTCTTCTGCATACGACTATCATTTTAAGTTATGACATGAACATGACCATATGTTGCTGGACGGGCACACTACTGGAGGATGAACTTTAGCTGAAAACTATTGGAGAGCCGTTGGTCAATATTCAACATATCGGAGACTTTCAATAAGAATGCGCTTGGCCATTCTTCAACTAACATTCATCTGACTTTGTTTTATTGACATTTGCATATATTATATTAATACTGCTATCAGATAGCATTGTTCTGTTATGCCTTCTACTGTTTTCTGAGTACTTCGTCCCACTGTTAAGCCCATTTTTCGAATGAAGCACTCTTAAAATGACTGATACTCGATGCCCACGTGATTTGAAATAGAAAGGCATGTTTTTAGGCGCGTGCGTGTGTCTGATATCAATGTATGACTGGTGCGTGTCGGCGTTGCTCCACTGAGGTACCATGTTTCAATTTAACATGATAACCACATACTTTCCGCTCTCTCCATATCTGGTTAGACGTATTCACACGCAGCCACCTATATTCATGACTGTAATACTGTCATAGTGGATACAGTCACTCACCCCCTCACTCACTCCCCGCCCACTGAAATCGTGTACACTCTCTGCATTATGAGTCAATCAGACTATAAACAAAGGTTCCATTTAAAGGGGAAGTGTACACGAAAATTAACCTTTTTGTCTTCCACTTTTTCATCATAAGAAATGTTTGTCAAAACAATACAGATAACTAATTTATTTTTTGCGTTGTATCAATTCAAAGTTTCCACATTAACCGAATGTTCTATGTCCACAATGAACACACCATGGCTTATGTCCCTTGGAAATGACGTCATTGGTGCTGAATGACGTCGTTAGACCTTATTAGAACCATTTCACGTGGTGCAGGTATGGGTGTGGTTCTTGTGTCTCGATGCGCAGGCTACTGTTTCAATCCACCTGTTGCCTACTGGCCGTCAGCTGGCTATATGGTCAGTTCCACACTGTTACATTGTACAGAAAGTGTTACCACTTAACCAAATTGTATAACATTCAACCTGAGTCGGTTGTCTTTCCAATCAACTTCTTTCGCCAAAACTCAAACGTACATAATAAGCACTACATCTAGCAGGCCATCGGTGAATTAGGGCTGCGACGATTCACCGATGCAACGATAGATCACGATACATTTAAGTTTGATACAGCTATCGTATCGTCGAGTGGTGTATCGATTTCAAAACAGTTTTATCTTAAATATGTTAAACTACTTATTTAGAGAAAAATAGGCAAGTATGATAGAGTTACTTGCTTGTTTATTACAATAATGTTATTGTTATACACAAATACCTTGTAATAAATCAGTTTACATCTGAATATTATGCCATTCTTTCAAGGTGTATGTATCGTGATGCGTATCGTATAGCAGGTAAAATATCGTATCGCATCGTGACATATCGTCCCAGTCCTACGGTGAATGAGAAGGCATTCTACGTTTGGTACATTCCTTCATTTAAATCGTACAATATATGTCCGTCCTCTTCAACCTTCACTTTGATGTCGAAACCATATCCAAATACATCGTAAAGATACAATTAGCAGTTTTGAATTCTGTTTGAAATTTCTATGATATCATCCGCTCATTGCAGGGAACATTTAGTGAAAATCCAGCCAGTCTTGACACTACATCACAATCCATTGCGTTTTCGTAATTCTTACTTTAAACGTCGAATTTTACTGGGAGAATTAAGGTTGTTTTTTTTAAAAACCCGTATAATTGTGATCACCGGTATCTGTTGTTGTTTGATGGCATCACCAATTCTGAAACATTGTCGATGAACCGAGAATAGCTTTGAATATTTTGGAAAATATGCAGACGTCGTTCGAAGTGAACTTTCAGACAGTGTTTATAGAATTACGTCACACGTATGTCGGTTATGTTTTGCCCATTACATCACAACTACAATTCAAAACCATCTTCCTTACATGAATCCTTGAATTCCTCATACAGTTCAAAATAAAGTGACAAATGGTCTTTGTCACCAAAACCAAGTGTCTCAGTGAAGTCTAGCAAAATATATCAAGTGTCGCGCTGTGAAAGTACCACTCGTTTGAAATGTAAACAAAGCTCGTCTCCTGCAGATATTACACTGTGCATCGTTTACTCATACTATGAGTGATCCGGTTCGCCTACTCGTTGCATACACTTGCTCATAAGTTTTAGAACATGCATGGGAAGAGCATCGAAGAAAGATATAGTTGAATAAAATAGGTGTATTCCAATTATTTCCACGATTCAACACAATATACACCCGTAACCAAGTTCGCCCATAGTAATCATGTGCATAGCTAAGAGGGCTTCTTGTTCTTGAGAAAACATTGGTTGAGGTCCAGATTGTACAGTGTCAATGCTCTGTCTTTTAATGTTGTGATAGGCACATTAAAATGCCGAGCCGCTCTTTGTACAGGACCTTATCCTTGACAACCATGTTGAAGGCATTGTCAATGTCTTCCCGGGAATAGTTCCTGTACCCTCCACCTCTAACACTGCAAGAAGTCTGCAAAATAAATAATTTCTGGTGTCTCACGGCGAATGCAAAAAATGTACCTTCGGAATTGTTTTTCGTTTCAGATTGTTAGGTGTTAATTTGGGACTGATATGCGAGCCGTACTTTTCGCTCCGCACAGCGAAGGATAGTTGCGATCATGTGACTTCCTATTTATAGATTGCCTGCCACTAGCAGACGACGGATCTTACTGAATTTTCGCTTGCTATTTTTTTCATATAGGCAATGGATTGTTCATCTGAAGTGGTATTAACGATCTCAGGTACATAATATTGATGTTTGTTTGCTTTTGATATAACTTACCCTCCGGATTTCCATTGTGAATAAAAGTTCCACGACAGCGACTGGACATCCGCCTTACCGATTAAACTGCTCGTGCGCTCCGATCGCGCACGTACTCACGCGATATAACGCGAGAATTGCAATCGAGTTTTGACTTAAGAGTTTTGACTCAAATTTGAGACAATGCAGGAAAATGCATTTCCCAGAATAAACTGAAATCGATATTAAACTCAAACATAGTAAACAATTTGAGTTTGGTGGATAGATTACTTAAAGGTCACATGCAACCAAAAATCAAACATAATTAAAACACAATTATCACTTATTCATGACATATAATATACATTGCTGGTTATGAAAAAACATATAAACAAAATTATAAGCGTACAATCGCAAATCAAAAGTGCAATATTGTGTACTTGGGTTTACTTCCCAAGAAACGAAGCAGCCGGGATACCGAACCCAGTCAGAGCGGGTGGGTGTGCACTCAAGTGTAACGGCTGGTTCATTTGCAGATGCCATCACGGCTCATTGTGTGTGTATATATAGAGATGTTGGGTTTTGTAAATACATGCTCGTTTTTTGTGTATAACATTTTGCAATCAACAGACATCATAACATGTCATGTGTTCAAGTATCACACCTGCCTGTCTGTGTTATTACATAATGTGACAGAGACCGAACTCGGGCCATAAATCAATGCATTTTGTTTATGGTGTATAGCCTGATTGGTGTTAAGTTAATTTGCATGTGGTCAGTGATAGCAGCTGTGTATTGAATATTGTCATGAGCAGACAGGCAGGCAGACACACAGGTGTCAATAAAACAAGACATCGAGTTTTGTCTGTGACAACGACATATCTATATCACAGTTAGAAATTCTGTCAACGCTAAATAATAACATTGCTTTTAAGTATCGAACTGAGAAAGTGACTCGGTAAGAAGAACGTGTGGTGAAATAGACAAATGAAATTATATAAACAGTTAATTCACTGTCATAACATGTAAAAAGCTCGCGCCTGTGAGATATCAACAAAACATTAGAAAAATAGCTCACACCAAAGCCTTCACCGAGTATTCACCCGACAACCCGCTTCCAAGCTGCGCTAACCTATTTCACTGTGCACTTGCTATGAGCGCAGCCAAGCTGTTGAAACCAGTTTTCCCCCGATAAGTCGGGGGAAAATGAGTGAATCGTTTGAACTCCGATTTCGCGCGTTTTTTTTCATCGCGTTATTTTTCAACTTTATAAGTTGAATTTGCATTTTTGACGATTTGTTTCGGTAAGTCCATACCGAAAGGTATCAGAATCTGCAAAGTTGTGTTTTACGTTGCATGTGACCTTTAAGTTCTTTGGGCTTTTTATTTTACAGATGCACTTGAGTTAATAATTCAGCTGTTTCTAATTGTCAAACTCAGTTTGAAATTTGAGTAAAAACTTAAGTTTGTTCCGAGAAATCGGAGCCAGAACGTCGAATTCAGCTCGTGTTGGGAGTTTCCGTATGCGTGACGCCATGACTGACGCAAACTCACACACAACAATGACGGCACTTCTCATTTCTGACTACTGCCCTTGATCACAATGAAAGCAAAAAGAAAATAACAACCAGCAGATTGTCAGAACATGTCGGACTACTTTCATGTCACATTTATGCATATACGTTGCTTGAAACAAAGAAAGTTTCGTTCCAAAAATCCTGCGTACTCGTGTCGGTGAACACGCCATTTTGAGAAAGTCAATTTCCCGAAAGTGATGTCATACGAACGTCAACATTGTTATACATATTTGATATTTCCATTGAGGTGAGGTTATGAATGAAAATACACACGATCATTTCTATCTTGCTGCTTACATTGTCAGTTCTAATGCTTCTTTCGTATTTTACATCCGTGTTTTTGCGTGATTAATGTCAGAATTCACATCTTTTGGCTTTGGGACTAGACAGGAGACCAGTATAAATCAGCTGGCACCAATTACGTCATAATGAAAGGGCAGTAACTCTGGCCTGTTTAGCTCGGCAAACTGAGACCTCATAATGACCTAACATTTCAGCACTTATAGTGCATGTTATACATTCATTGTAAGAAAAATTAGTGTATATTTTCAAACACTCATATTAAGTAATTAAAAATTCCATTTTGGTTCACATAAGAAAAAACGTGATTTTTCCGTGTACACTTCCCCTTTAAGCAGTAAAACATACCGTTGTTGCGTTTGTTTCTCCTATGTTTATTGCGTCAAAGCAAGTCGTGTAACATTTATGATTGAAAATATCGACTGAAAAGCGGGAAGCAAACACATTGGTCAAAAATGAGATATTGACTGAGTGACTGTCTATTATAAATATCAAAAGGCCCTAAGCGCATTCATAGTTTCGTATAGCAATTGTAGAACCAGTTTGACAATGCCGATGGCCGAGGTTTTGCCATTTCCTTTATCTATCTTTGTAGCGTCATGTAAAAATATTACATTTGGGCGTAACAGATAATGTATATATACATTGCAAGGTTATCAATTTAGGGAAACAAATAACTATACATCATAATCTCGCAGTGGCGAGACTTCCGATAACCGCCATATTTAGAAAGCCGGGAAGCACCTGCTGGCGACGTAAACAAAACACGTGCAAAATCTTGTAACACTTCTGACCTTTCTGACCCGAATGTGATTAATCTGCATTGTTTAACTCTAATTGTTTCTTCTGTAATCATCATAAGGGGCGATGGATACCCAAGACAGCGCCCAGTCGTCTCTGAATAGTACCGATACAAGTCAGCTCTTGAGAGAATTACAAGCTCTGAACTTAGACAGATCACCCGGTGTGTTATTTTGAGATCAACTTGACATATATTTCTTAGCTACACATTTATGTTTTATTAAAAGTACATTCCATGCATGTATCCTTAGTTCTTCTTAATAATTAACAATGCTGTAGTAATCTGAACCCGAGTTCGGAAGTTATTTACCTGTTGTCAACAAATTGCGAGTAGTGTTCATCCCTGATGATGTGATTCTCCTATGCAGTCCCAATACTGTTTATGGAATACACCAAGACGATCTTTAGGAAGGTTTATACAGTTGACCATAAATACAGTTGACCATAGACACAAAACGTTCCTTTAGTTTCTTAATAATCAGTAGGAAATTCTTCACAACAAGAACTCACAATTCATTAATGGTCCCAGTCAGAGACCTTGGAAAACCTTGATACTGATACTTCTAGAAAATATCACCATCTTTTCGGATACATTCCCAAATGTTGACTTTCAGGCAGAGTAGGTCCGCCTTGTCCCATGCTTGTCAAAAGGGATGGCAAATGCAGAATGGGTGGTAAATGATATGTTACATATAGTAAACAATGAGTATTATCTTGCCTCACACATAAAGGTCATTTTCTGATTGTCTGAGCGCTCTTCTATTATTTTCAATGTGCGTTAATAGAACTGGGGCCATTCAACCCCCTCTAGGTGAAGTCAGGGTTGCAGTGGTGTATTGGGCAAAGTTACTAATGGCCTGTATTCTCCATTAAACAATGGAATGTGTGGATGATGTGGATTGGTTTTAGGACTGCATAATATTTTGTTGCCGATTCCTTTGAATGTAACATTGACTTTTTTCATTGCTCCTGTTATGGTTTTGATAGATTTAAGTGACTCTCTCCCTTTTGCTGAATTATACATGTGTTTTCATTATGTTCATCATCAATTTGTTGTCTATTTCTGACATTGGCCATGATGGTGATGATAATATGATTTTTAACCAGGCTCATCGCATGGAAGTTTCGGAACAGGAAGAAATATCCCTGGAACAGGGGATAGGTATGTATATATATCTGTAATATTAATAATACTATTATATATAGTTACCATGTTTGTTTGCATGTGATTTTGGAAACATCATGAAATTTCTACTACTAGAAACACTGTGAAATATTCTTCTGTTGGTTTGATAACAATGATGATAATTCTGATCTGCTGACTGGGGGGAGGGGTATGGAAATATTAATCACCTGTTGTACCTGATCTGCCGACTGGGGAGGGTATGGAAATATTAATCACCTGTTGTACCTGATCTGCTGACTGTGGGGAGGGGTATGGAAATATTAATCACCAGTTGTACCTGATCTGCTGACTGTGGGGAGGGGTATGGAAATATTAATCACCTGTTGTACCTGATCTGCTGACTGTGGGAGGGTATGGAAATATTAATCACCTGTTGTACCTGATCTGGTGACTGGGGAGAGGGTATGGAAATATTAATCACCAGTTGTACCTGATCTGGTGACTGTGGGAGGGTATATGAAATATTAATCACCTGTTGTACCTGATCTGCTGACTGTGGGGAGGGGTATGGAAATATTAATCACCTGTTGTACCTGATCTGCTGACTGGGGGAGGGGTATGGAAATATTAATCACCTGTTGTACCTGATCTGCTGACTGGGGGAAGGGGTATGGAAATATTAATCACCTGTTGTACCTGATCTGCTGACTGGGGGAGGGTATGGAAATATTAATCACCTGTTATACCTGATCTGGTGACAGTGTTGTAAGATTGAGATAAGGGTGGCACATTTGACTGAATTGCTGGGAAGGAAGTTAATAGAAAATATTACTGTGTATTTTGCAGGGACTTGCCACCATCAGGGGAAGCAACTCTGACCCAGCTGATGATGACAATGTACAGTTCAGCACCAAAACAACAGATGTAAGTGTACCTGCTAGTCTGGTAGTGATACACAGAAACTTTTTTCCTAATCTGCTGTACTTAAAGACATTTGCTCTTGTTGAATAATTGACCATTGCTGAGGTACAGATAAGCTGCTTATCTGCGTAAATTACGCAAACATTTATGCGAAAACTCAATTCGTATTAAGTCTGTTGCGTACAAGTACGCTTGAATTTTTGTAAATAGCCAAAAAATTTGATCTTACATGCATACACAAAAAATGCCAGGTCTTAACTTGGAAAGTTACTGATACAAAGACTATTAATTATCATTATTTATATTGAGAGTTTCTATTTCAGCACATGAACTTGGCAACTTGCAGACTTTCTGATCGTTTCTCATATTACTGATCAAATATAAGAATATAAGTAGCAAACACATAAACCAACATTTAAACTTTATTATAGTTTTACAATTAATGGAAAATGGCAAAATACCCAACTGAGTTTTTGTGAGGTGAATACAATATATTTGGTTACTCAAAGGAAAATTTGGATACCCATTTGAGATGAACACCAGTGAGTACATAACTCAATGACCCAAAAAGTTATCTGTAGCTCTGCCATTGTATACTTGACTATGTTTACACTTTTTACCATGATTATACTTGTGTGTTACCTGTAGGGGTACTGGGTAAGAAATGTAGGTTCCCAGTAACCTATGTTTGTTGTGAAAGGCAACCTAATGGAATATGTGGTGGCATGACTGATTGCAAACATATGCGTGTCAGATGTGTAGAGCAATGCTCATTGGATTGTCCGGTCTTTATTAATAACAGACGTCATACAGCTAAAGTATTGACGAATGTGGCATTACACATAACACAAACAACCATGATGTAACTGGGATACTGTCATCCTTGTGACTTCCTACAGTGCAGTTTGAGTGTGACATAGGAATCCTGTGTGTCTAATCTTACATGCACCAGTACTGATGTAGATAACCCGTCACATTAAATCCTCTGCGTGTCAATTGTCTCATGCATAGGTTGGATGGATTTCTGGATGATTCTTTTGTAAATTTGGGTTTGGGTAGCCTAGTGGTTAAAGTGTTTGCTCGCGTCACAATACAAAGGTGGTCATTTTCCCCATCATGATATTGCTGGAATATTGCTAAAAGCGGCGTAAAACTAAACTCACTCACTTTTGTAGACATGGTCCAAGAAGCCAGTGGTTGTTGTAAGTGGTATAAGAAGCTCCAAGTCATTAATGTGGCTGATAGCATGACATGTTACTTTGACAGTGTTCATGATATCAACCGCTGGGTTATTAGGTCCAGGTTTGGTTATTTACAGGTGGTGTTTCTTTGAGCAGCATTGAATCTCTCCAAATTGTCTGTGGTACTCCAGAGGTAGAGATAAGCTGTGTATCTGCGTAAATTACTCAAATATTTGTGTGAAAACTCAATTCCTATTAAGTCTATTGTGTACAAGTTCGCTTGAATTTTGGTAAATACTCAGTAAATGTGATCTTACATGTGTACACATGACAATGTCAAATCTTAGCTTGCGTACCGGTGGATAGATAACATAACTGAGGTATATTGAGAGGTTCTATTTCAGGACATGAACTTGGAACCTGCAGTCTTTCTTATCGTTTCTCATGTTACAGATCAAATATGAATAACAAACACTAACATTTAAACATTTTTATATTTTTAAAATTAATGGAAAATGACAAAATACCCAACTGAGTTTGAGTGAGATGAGTACAATTTATTTGGTTACTCTAAGGAAAATTAGGATACCCAATTGAGATGAACACAAGCGAGTACATAACTCAATGACCCAAAAAGTCTGTAGCTCTGTACTTTCAAGGTTTTGGAGAAGTTAAATGAATTACATATTTGAATTTTGAGACTAGATGACTCAGGATTGAAGTCCATCATTTTGGTGTCCACAGAGTGCTGCAGGGCAATGACAACCAAAACAGTTTCAGCGTGTATGGGCGAGACGTTGACGTGTTCCTTGGTGAGGCTCGGGTGGGGGAGTCACTTGTTACCACTGCTGGTAGCAATAAGGTAAACTGCCTTATATTACACTATAATCTATGCTTCTGAACTGAGTCCTTTTGGTGAATCCTGATTGTTCAGCTGATCTTATGCTATATTCCATGTTCATTTCAGGTTAAGATAACCCCTGTGGTGAACTATGACTGGGAACCAAAGTATTATATCGGCAATTTGGTGGCTGTGCACAGAGACAACGAGTTTGTGGCGTATGTACTTAAAGGTAAGAGCTAGTTTTGTCTATTGACTCTGATACAATTACTTTAAATGTTAATGAGACAGCTAGATCAGTATCTCTTTCTGATTAGTCTCCTTCATTATCAAACCTGAACTGGTCTTCAGCAACCCTAAAAGGCAACTAACAGGATCGGATGGTCAGACTCGCTGACTTGGTTGAAAGTAATGAAACATGTCATCGTGTCGTATCCCAATTGTATAGATCGATGCTCATGATGCTGATCACTGGATTGTCTGGTCCAGACTGGATTCTTTACAGACCGCTGCCATATAGCTGCAATATTGCTGAGTGCAGCATTAAACAGCAAACTGACCAACCCACCGACCCACCTTCATTGTTAAGTGCGGCGACTTGTCACACCAAAGACCTGGGTTCGAATGCCCACATGGGCACAATGTGTGACACCCATTTCTGGTGTCCCCCGCTGTGATATTGCTGGAATATTGCTAAAAGCGGCGTAAAACCATACTCACTCACTCACTCACTCATTAATAAGTTTTCAGTTGACGTTCATGAATTTGAAAAAACCCTGTTATATGGTGCCTTGTCATGATTATTGTAGCCTGAAAATAATTATAAACATAACAGGCGCGGTGGGGTAGCCTTGTGGATAAAGTGTTTGCTCTTCACGCTGAAGACCTGTGTTTTATTCCCCACATGGGTAGAATGTGTGAAGCCCATTTCTGGTGTACCCCTGATATTTCTGGAATATTGCTAAAAGTAGTGTAAAACTAAACTCACTCACTATAAACATAGCAGTCATTTTGTTACAATGCAGTCTCATGTATGGTCTACCGTGAAGATGCGGCTTAGGATATATCTTCAGTAACCCATGCTTGTCGTAGGAGGGGACTGATGGGATCGGGTGGTCAGGCTCGCTGACTTGGTTGACACATGTCATCGGATCCCAATTTTGTAGATTGATGCTCATGCTGTTGATCACTGGATTGTCTGGTCCGACTCGAATATTTACAGACCGCTGCCATATAGCTGGAATGTTGCTAAGTGCGGCGTGAAATTAAACTCTCTCACTCACTCACTCAATTTTATACACATGTACTAGCAATTTTGTACATAAAAATGTTAAATAAGTATGCTTAAAAATATGGGAAGGCAGAGGGGTCATTGATTTTGTACATGACATGCAGGGCGGGGGTCGCTTACTTTGTACGTAAGTTTTAGGTGGGGGGGGGTTGTTGTCATTCACATTGTACATGCTTCTCCATAAATATCATCATCACTCACTCTAGCCATAAATTATAAACAGTACCTTAGTTGTGAAGCCCATTTCTGGTGTCCCCCGCTGTGATATTGCTGGAATATTGCTAAAAGCGGCGTAAAACTAAACTCACTCACTCAGTATGTTATTTGGGTGGAGTCCCATCCGGGATTCAAACCCACACTCTCAGATTCAGGCACCTAATCGCCAGCACACAAAGTCAGCCATCTAATATTAAACAAATGTATAATTATATAATCATAATGATGATATATGATAATGGTTATGCTTGCTTTAGGTAAATCAAATGGAGTTGTCCGTGTCATCTCAAGAAAATGTGCAGAGCGGGTGCTTTTAAAGGACTTCGATGGACGGGTTATTGACATCGCCTTTGCCCATACTGATGAAATTCTCCTGGCTGCCGTGGATGAAATAGGGAACTTGTTTGTGCATGAAATTAAAGAGGAAGATGGGAAAGTTGTGTATCCTTCATCATCGAATTCTCATTGAATTCTTCACAGTGTAAATAGACAGTCATCTTTGTTAATGTGCATGAATTGTTAGCATCTGTAGGAGTTGTTCCCAGCAACTTATCTTTGTTTACAAGAGAGTTAAGCATGTGAAGTGAATCGGATGGACAGACCCAGCTCTTAGATGAGTGTGTGTCATCATTTGCATAATATCGGTAATGTGGACTAAAGGGTTAAACAACAGACAATAAACAGTACATAGTTTACCATTTTTTCCACATGTTCTACATGGAGTAACCTAGACTTGCAGAGCTCCAGATAAGATTTAGCTCATGTGGGTACTGTACCCACTGTATTTTTTGGAGTGGGTATTATGAATGTTGAGTGGGTATTTCCTTTTCCGTTACCCACAGCTTTCAAATATGTGTACTCACCTTATAAGTATTATGTCACTGAGTAGGTATGTTCTGCCTTGTCATACCTAATCAAAACCAACTTAAATATAATGGAAATGATTTCATAAAAAAATCACTATACTGACAGTACAACACTAGTCCTATACTATCAGTACAACTTGATAGCAATCGATGCCTTTTTCATTACGCAAGCGATTTTTATAAATATATTCCGTACGCATTTGTTTTAAACATTTTGCGTATGTAACATTTTAAATGCGTAATTGGTACGCAACAATTATTTTTCAATGCGTAATTGATATTTTCCATCGTGATTTTACCCGGATAATGCGAGTTTATCTGGGCCACCTAGACTTGCTCAATGGCAGATTTTGTTCCCAGGTCCACAGGCAATCCCCACATTGAAATGACCATTTCCCTGTTGTTATAGTTAATACGAATATGATGGTCCTGTGAAAGTGACTAATACCAGGAACTGTAAAGAGGAGGCTAGTGTAATGCGTTGTCATACATTACTGCATCTTGATTAAGGATAAATTTTCGAGGAATATTGCAAATTTGTTCAAAATAATGATGATATCTCAGTTTGACCACCAAGGGCACTTAGTTTGTAATCGTAGGTTATTCAACGCACTACTTACTGTAGTAGTAATGGCCTTCATGTTCATATCAGATGTCTTATCTGCCAGGGCCTTTTTATCCCCCGCAACGCGTTTTGTGGGGGGTATTAAAATGGACTCCGTGCGTGCGTGCGTGGAATTCTGAATAAAATATTTTTGGCGTTTCCGTGGCAACAAGTTTTGACTAAGCCTGAAATTGGTGGGAGTACACTTTTCCGGAGCTGAACTCTAAAACCGTTCACTATTTCTTTACCAAACTTGGCACATAGATTGGTCTGGTGGTGTACTGGTGCCTTTTGGTAGTTTTGGAATTCTGAATAAAATATTTTTGGCATTTCCATGGCAAGAAGTTTGACTTAGCCTGAAATTAGTGGTTATGCTCTTTTCCGGAGCTGAACTCTAAATCCGTCTATTATGTCTTCACCAAACTTGGCACATAGATTGGTCTGGTGGTGTACTGGTGCCTGTTGGTAGTTTTGGAATTCTGAATAAAACATTTTTGGCGTTTCCATGGCAACAAGTTTGACTTAGAATGAAATTGGTGGTAGTACACTTTCCGGAGCTGAACTCTAAAACCGTTCACTATTTCTTCACCAAACTTGGCACATAGATCTGGTGGTGTACTGGTGCCTTTTGGTAGTTTTGGATTTCTGAATAAAATATTTTTGGCATTTCCATGGCAACAAGTTTGACATAGACTGAAATTGGTGATAGTGCTCCTTTCTGGAGCAGAACTTTAAAAACTTTTCAATACTCTCCTTCCACTTTTCTATATACATACCTAAATATTTGACATAATCATAACTCGTAGACATAATCATGAAGAGTATTTTGCCATTGCGGGGGATATTGATGACTTTGTCTTCTTGTTCCTTTTGGAAGGGTCATTGTTTAAAGGTGAAATTAGCAACGTGTTGCCACCCTTTCCCATGTTTGCTCTACTCTTGACATATCTACTGTGACAAAGGATACATGTATGTTTGAATTTCCCAGTGATGATTAAAATATTGAATAGAGATCCTGCAAACACTGATTTTCCTTAGCCAGTAAAGCTCCTCCTTACTCCTGCACGTGAAACACCCACAGGCCACGCCATCCTCGGAGTTCCATCGAGTTATCTGGTGCCCCTACATCCCGGAGGACTGTGAGGAGGCTATGACCGACGCCTCGTCACAGGATGCCTCGCGGGTGCTTGTCCTCACTCATGATGCAGTGGTGAGTAGCTGATTCTGTGCTACTGTCTCAGCCTTTAAAACTGATGCCTCTCTGCTAGTCTGTGACTTAAAAATTATAAAGGACAGATAAGACTCCAGTGATAGTTGTCTATGTGCTTCTATATTTGACTAGAAGCATACAAGGTGTCCTAATTGACAAGCGTACAAGGGCCTCATTTCTGTGTACATGTCTTACTACTTACTGACACTGAGTGAAACCTGATAGTAGATTTAAACATATTTGTCTTGTTCAAGCGTCATCTGCTACAGACTGTGAGGACATTTTAACAAATATCTAAGCTTGCTCTAACTTACACAGATATATGGTTGGTCAACCTTGATGGAGGAAGCAATTTGTTGTGTCTCTTTATAATTTGTGTATATGTTCTTGCTGTGATTACAACTTGATTTGTTGTAGAAATGTGTTGACACTCTGTAAACATGTGTCTTCAAAACAGGAGTGGCTGTTTTGTTGACATGGTTATGCATTACCCCCACCTTCAAGTTACCTTCAAATAGCGCCCCTTAGTTGTACCAGGATCTGATGATCCAAGTTCACTTTGATTATCAGCCTTGGTTCATCAGCACATTGTCTGCTCTGGTTCATCAAACTTGTAAACATCTGTGACATATTCCGACATTATTCTGACGGTATGATGAAAAAACTGTTGGGAGACTAACACAAAGTAGCTGAATATTCGAGGTAGCTAGTTTTGTAACTTACTGCTTAAGCCTCTGCTTAGACTATGGAATGTGTACCTGATTATGTTGTATTTTCAAGGCGGAGATATGGAGTGTTGACATGGTAACCAAGGAACATGGGTGTGGCCCTCACTACCCAAACACCGTAGAGAGCGGCCTCATTACCATCAACAGTCACACCAAGGTAGGACATTCTTAGCTGAAATACTGTCAGTCATCTGTGAAGATGGACAGGAATCCATTAAACAGGGATGAATTTAGATATGTAGATTTTGTCTACAATAATCACCTTGGGGCCCATTCCACAATGAGATGGTCCAAAGTCCCATCTTTAACAACAGACGTAGTGCCAAGATTGCAATGTGGAACAGGAGCCATTGTCAGGCCTCTTTTCTGTACAGTTTCTGTTTAAACTGTTATATGCAGGTATTAACATGATTAACCCATTCAACACCGTAGGCCGGAAAACCGGCCAAGACGTCACGAGTCCCCAGACACCGTAGACTGGTAAACCGGCCAGGCAGTAGTCACATCAAAATGATCTATAATTTTCGGAACCTAACTAACATATGATTCTTTCATGAAATCTATCACTTTTCACAATGTCTGAAAACACTTATTAAATTTCAAATGACCATATATTATCGACTGGCTTAGAATTATACACTATTTTTTATTGAAAAAAACAATTCTCGGACACATTCTTCGGCAAGGATCCACAACTAAGTTGTCAAAGAGCAAAGTAACGATGTTTAGAGAAAATAATTAAACAAACTGAATAACCTGAAGAATAAAATTCACATCAGTACTCATAAAAGTTGTCAAACGTACCTTATAAGTTACTATTTCCTTCTTTTTGAGCAATCGTGTAATGCAATTCAAGTGACATCTCGGCTTTTGTCGCCTCAAACTTCATGCTCGGACACGATGTTTAATGCTAAAATATATGCATGAAGCATTTTTGTCACAGGTCATAACCTAGCACGATATGTCCACTAAGTTCCATAATATACATATAGGTGGTGATTTATTGCGTAACATGTTCAGAATGGCGTAATTTTACCCAAAACTTTCGTCTGAATCATTAGTTTTCGTTTACGAGGACGGTATCCATTGCTGTAATACGATTGGCTGCCTTAGGTCACGTGTACAATATTGACCAATCACGATCCTTATGTCAGACTGTGGCGAAAAAGCGTCATTAGAAAACCAATTTTTATCCAATAAAATCGCTTCTTACAACTGTGAAATAACTCTTGCAAGGGTACAGTGATATTGTTGATGTTCAGAGCTTTCGAACGATACCCGCCATCAAACGAATCGCCTCACATGTTATTCATACGAAGCTTCGAAAACCGAGGTATTTCCCGCTGTTGTATCACGTTACCGAGCCTTCTCAAAGAAAGTCACTGATATCGGGAAATAATTGAACCGACCATACATATTATTTGAGAAATCTTTTTCAAATAATTTCCAATTATGTAAAAATGAAAATATAGAAGAAAAATCTGGTAAGGGGATATTATGACATGTTACAAATGGAAAATTTTGGCGCTATTAATCCCACGCTGATACAGTTTTTGCTCCCAATTATGTAAAAATGTGGTTTATCTGGACATTATCTTGCATTTTCATTAAAAATTAAATTAATTACGTTGTAGTTGGATTATTTGAATAATATGATTTAAAATAAATTTCATACATTATAAGATTAAAAATAAATTTCATATTTATAAACTGTAGATTAGACCTTTCAAATGGTGTATGATATTTAGTAGCAATAATGTTTTACAAGCTGATATTTCCCTTCATAAACATAGGCTCCATCTATGACCTCAGAGTCTCTGGGAACTCGGTGTCATGGCAGTAAAAGCCTCTGGTTGACTGGTGTTGAAAGAGTTAACTTCCTGGGAATTGATTAGCAGTTGGTTGTTGTAAGGACATGAAGTTAATGTTCCATCATCAGCTATCTAGTGTTATTTCTGTCTTAGTTCTATTATGATAAATACTCACACCCCATATTTTTAAACTTATCCTATCTCACGTTGTGTACTCTCTCTCTCATGACATCCATTTGGAAGTGATGTCACAAACTCCTCTCAGACAACTTACCATCATGAAAGAACAGTGCACTTTAACTGGATTGCTATTTGCAGGGTTCTCGGTATTAGTCATACTAGAATGTGATACTGTCAATGATCGAGGATGGCTGCAGATTTCCACCAGTTTTGTTATGTCAAGGGTCATTTGTGTGATAAATGCTGTTACAATATACATAGAAATGACATAGTCCTTCAGACCACGACCAACTTTGTGTGTTTTTGTATTTATGATTTCCTCTTTGCTATTTGTATTGATTTCTCTCTTCAGCCAATTGTTGATGCTGCATTTTCCCCTGATGGCACAGCGATGGCAACAGCTAGTCTGGACGGAGAGGTGAAGTTCTTCCAGGTCTACATGCAAGAGGGCACCTCTCCCAGGTCAGATGTCACAGCAGCTGGCTTACTGTGGATGTAGCATTGTTCTAATGTAGTATTTGCCACAGGGGGCTGATTCATGTTTAAGTGTGCTTCTTAGAAACTAAACATGCAAACCAATTCCACACAAACAATACAGTACAAACACTAAAAAAGAATTGTTTTTCATATTGAGTTTGATTTCCAAACTTTATTAAGAACAGCCTGTGTCATGTAGTTGTAATATTGCTGTGTATAACAACAAAGTGTGTTAGAGTGGTTGCTTTGACTGGATGTAACCAGGACTGCTCTGTGACAGGTGTCTGCACCAGTGGAAACCTCACGACGGCAAGCCGATGTCGTGTCTCTTCTTCCTGGATGATCACAAGAACCTAAGTGCAGAGTGAGTTGTTAATATGGTCTTACTATTGGCGTGAAAGTGTTATCTTCCACAGTTAATATGTCTTGTTAGATGTTTTGTTTCCAATCCATTCACTTTTCCTGATATGGAGTTTTTCCTTCTTTGTTACACATGAGATAAGGGAATTTGTGTTGCATTCAGTCAGATTTGATCTGAGTTAGTTCCATTATCAAATAACAAACACATCAGTGTTCTATCGTTGTAATTACTCGGATAAAATTTTAAAACCTGATTTGAATCTTTTCTCTGACAAACTGTTCCACACTAGTCAGAGGCCATATGAAAATAGTTTATGTGCAACTGATGACATTCTTTCCTTGAAATTTTTGGGTCATCTGGACACCTGCATGTTTCGTGTTTGCAGTGCCCAGTTTTGGAAGTATGCAGTGACTGGAGCCAATCAAAACCAGGAGCTAAAGATCTGGAGCTGTGAGTCATGGAACTGTCTACAGACAATCAGGTTGGTAGCTATAGTAATCCCACTCCTGTAGGGACTAGTTCCAAGAATTTGCGGGGCGGTGGGGTATCCCAGTGGTTAAAGCGTTCGCTCGTCACGCCGAAGGCCCGGGTTCGATTCCCCACATGGGTACAATTTGTGAAGCCCATTTCTGGTGTCCCCCGCCGTGATATTGCTGGAATATTCTAAAAACGGCGTAAAACCATACTCAGTCAGTCAGTCAGTCCAAGGATTTGCTGCATTATAGGGAGCTGTCTCTGGATGCTAGTATTGTTCCTGATTAATCAGTTCACTTGATTACTAGTTGGCAGAACTTGGGAGTTTGATTATTCCAGAAGATCAATCTTGTTTCTTATCATTGGATTCTTTTTCAGAAGAAGTCCTCCTTCATTCGTTTATACACAACGTGGCTCATAGTGGCCGAGGTTGTGTTTGTTTTTTGTTTTGTTTTTTGTTTTTTTGCCTGGGTTTCTGCGCCTCACGCTCATTCTTTCAGGCACGCAGATTTTATGTTTTTCAAAAATCTGCTTCAGGCGGGGGATAATTTTTGATGAAAGGTTTCTAAGGAAATCCCTTTATTGTTCCCCCGCCTACTCCTCTCCCACAAACAATGTTGCTACACTAACGATTGATTTCTTATTTATAGCAGCAGCTTGGGTGGCTTGGCTTCTGTCAGGTCTAACCCCCAGACACGCGGAATTCCTGCAGCCGTTGCAGACACAATTCTGACTTCGAGGCGGGATTCGACACCCGTTCAGTTTGTTGATCGGTGGGGCGGGCTGGTGTGCAGATAGGGGGATTTCAGAATCCCTATTCTGCGGATTTAGTTCGGATATTGGAGTTACTATAACCTCGTTTTGGTTGAGAGCCTTATGACCTCCACCATTCCCGGGTACTCCATGGCTATTTCCACGTTTCACACCTCGTTCTATGGTGTTCTGCGTAGGCAGCACCCTCTCGTACAGCGCTTCGTGGCTGGCATGAACAGGGTTCGACCGCCTCGGCGGCGACCAAGCCCACCTTGAAATTGCTAATTATTCTCAATTCCATGGCTGTCTGGCCCTGACTTTTCAAGTATGTCGTCTCCCTCACTTCACTTGTTGACGTGGAAGAAGGCTTTACTTGTCGTTGTGAGCTCTGGTAGAAGGGTCGGGTACATCCATGCGATACCCACTGACCCGACACTGACAGTATTTTATACTGATCATGTCCGTATTCGCCACCCGGATACCTACCACTCTCAGATCGATATTGCTTTCCATGTGACTGCTCATATTGAACTTCCACCCCTTACCCAGCCTTCCACACCGGGGACCGATCTTTCGATTGCTCACCTGTTGGAGTGACTATAACGAACAAACGAAAGGGATCCGTACGGGTACCCTTGTGTTCTGTTTGGTGGCGGGAAGACTGGGGAGTCTGCTAGCAAGCGGACTTTATCTTGTTGGCTTGTTTCCGTAATTGTTCGGTTAAGTGCTAAGATTTACCTTCCCCTTAGGGGTTGAAGGCAGACTGGGTAGGGCAGATGCCGCTTTGTTGACAATACACAGCGGCACTGCTCAATGAAGAGATCGGTTCTGTCGCTCTTTGGAGATGGCAGAATGCCTTCATTCGCCTTTACCGACTTGACTCGCATTCTAAGGATCGTGCACGGTCGGTCTTTCGGTTCTCTCCAGTGGAGAGTGTCCTGCCACCCTGACCATGTTAGTAACTGGTCATTGGTATCGGTTCTGTGTTCAATGTCGATATGGTTCATATCACTACATCGTATAAGCCTTACCACCCTTTCGGGTTGGGTCGGGTTTGGGTGTACATACGTCCCTTACTTCCTCTTCACTTAAAGACAAGAGAGGGCAGGGCCGGTTTTGAACGCTATAACCAGTCATATGCTATTAACCCGTCTTGCGATGGAATTGGGTACGAACCCCCCACGGGTCACTGTTTGGTATGCCTCTCTTAGAGCCAACACATGTTCAGCTACGCTTTTCGCTATTCAGGGGATTTTTGTACGCTAACAGTTTTTTCCCTCTTCCCGAGACTTCGGTATTTGGGAGTCTGTGTTAATCAGCACTTTGGATGATGGTAGTTTACACTTACCCTCCTCACCCCGAGAGCGTTTAGTGGGGGTGTTTTATCTGGTTTTTCACTCGTACAATGCATGGCGTTTGTACTCGTTCGATTTCCTCAGTAAGTTTTTAGCGAGACTAATAATTTCTCTGGGTTTTATCAAGGTCCCGGTAAGCCCTCTTCCAAAAAGGAGAGGTGCATTCGAGCATTAGTTTGCAGTACTTATTAGCTCGACTCCTGGGTTATTGGCTTTTAAGCGTTTTTTACGCTTTCCCTACCCTTATACCTCTCGCCACTCTTTTCTGGTTCGGGCTATTAAGGTTGGGAGTTGTTTCGTCATGTCCCCATAAATTCCTTTCCATTGTAATGGTTGGGGGTGGGGTTTTATGTCATAATTGATTTGAGCCAATTGACGTATTAGCTTGGGCTCTCTATTTCCCGCCCTAGCCACGCCCCCGCCTGATTGACATCAGCGGTCAGGTGGCTCGGTAAGTGTTTTTTCTATTTCCGTATCGGTTGTAGATTTCACTCCACCACGGGTGTAGTTATTGCCAGACAGAATGCCACTCCCGTCTCAAATATCTTTGGGAGTCTGTCTTATGCTTATATGTACCCCAAGGAGGACTTCTACTGAAAAAGAATTATACAAACCTGTAGAGGTTATGAATTCTTTGAAGAAAGTCCTCCTTGGGGTACGACCACCCGCCTCCCCTCATTCTGTCTGATACGTTCAGCATGAAAAGTGAGGTACAAGGTAGACGGCCTGCTCTTGGCTGTGTTGGTCCGGTGGGGCCCTGTAGGGGTGGTCTCACAAGACAAAACAAGTTTTTTGTTTCGTACATATTTTATTACAAAATATAGTTACAACTGTCGTAGGATTTAAAATGGACATTTTAATGCTTATACATACCCTAAAAAGACTTTCTTCAAAGAATTCATAACCTCTACAGGTTTGTATAAATTTTTGTGACTTTCTTGACAATTGTAAAGTGAAGTTCCAGATTTGATTATTTTTGAATGATTCCCAATGGAGGGAATTTTAGTGACAAAGATACCGTTGATTTTGTCACAGTATTGAATTATCTGGAGATTAGAAATATGAACGAAAACTACAAATATTACTAGTCATGATTTTATGTTAACTCCCAATATCAAAAAGTGTTTCTGCTGACATGTATCAAATAGAAACAAACAAAACAAACAAACAGACTAACCCTGGACATTTTGTCGCTGACAGATTCGTGAACCCACCAAACATGGAAGTTGGTGCCCTGGCAGACGTGTCCTTGAAGGCAGGGCTAGATCTTGGTGCTAAGTACCTGGTGCTGTCAGACAGGATGCGGAAGGTGAGAGTTCTTACATTGTAAACTGTCAGCTTAAATCTCTACAAGAGGAAACAACAACCTCTTCAGTAGTAAACTAATGGGATTTCCTGTATGTAAGCCCTGGGCTTAATAACGGAAAATGACCCCTCTTGTTAACAAATAAAAAAACAATAATTAAGCCCAGGGCTTAAATTCAGGAAATGCTTCTAATTGAAGAAAATGATTCTAAGACACGACAAAATGGAATGAACTTTAACATAACCTGAATAATACAGATCTGAATAATACACCTGAACCATAAACAATCATTAAGGAACAGAAAGTTATACTTCTGAAACTTTCAGTCATTAAAAATGTCCGGTTAAGTGTGCTTCACTGTGTTGAACCGGTCTCACACTGAAGTTCAGCTTCTCGTCAATCGGATCCTTTTTTGGACTTCAAAACGTTCTGTATACATGAAACATTTAACTGAACTAACAGCGTTATAAATGCTGACATTTGACATTTGCTTTTTCAAAGGGATGTCCCTCTAACCAATAAAATTTAAAACTTAATGTAGGCCCATGTGTTTAGTAATGGGAAAGGGGCAGTGGGGTAGCCTAGTGGTTAAAGCGTTGGCTCGTCACGCCGAAGACCCGGGTTCGAATCCCCACATGGGTACAATGTGTAAAGCCCATTTCTGGTGTCCTCCGCCGTGATGTTGCTGGAATATTGCTAAAAGCGGCGTAAAACCAAACTCAGTCAGTCAGTAATGGGAAAATGTCCTGTTTTTAGGCCAAAACGGCAAAATTTCAAATGGACTTAACTATGGGAAATCTCGGTACTACATCTACAACAGTTGTTGACATCACTGTGCACCACCTTTGTGTCCTGAAATTTATGCAGGGTGTTGAGATCTGCAGGTCTACAGCACAACATTACAAGGAACATTGCTGTGTCTGTTGAGCTTTCCTGGCACTGGAACAAAGCCTTTGCTTGACAGTGATTACATCCACACCAGTCCGATATATTAATGGTTTATGAAGGGACTGATGTGTATGGACAAGTTATAGAATGGTCCTCTAAGAACAAGCCTTCATTTACAATCACCCACTCTGTCAAATGCATTTTGACCCTTATGTTTTAGATGCTGTATGTGTTACAAATCCACCAAGAAGGCACATCGACCACGGCACATGTCAGCTCCGTGTCGGAGTTCCTGCTTGCACAGCCTTGCCTTAGTTACGCCATCCTGGACGCCAGCACCAAGAAGCTAAAGAAATCCCCAAATGACTCCCATCTTGATGAAATAACCACAGGTTTGTGGGCATGGCTAGCTGCTCATAAGACTCTTCTCAAATTGGTCTCTGTTGTGGTTAGAAATGTAGTGAGAACCAACTTAATGTATGTTCAAAGATATCACTTGTGATTACCATGTCTGATCCACATGGACATTCCGAGTTAGCATTGGTCCCCAGTGCCTGTTCTGGTTGTAAGGTATGATAGTGGATCACACGGTTCTGTTAAACTAGTTGATTGCGTTTCATCATCCCATGTTGGGACGGATTGTTAATCGTAATAGTGAGAACTGTATTTCCTGGTTCAGGTTGGATTATGTACAGGAAGTTGTCATGTAGCTGCTATATTGCTGACTCCAGTGTTAAACAAACTAGGTCTAATGTTTCAGGTAACACCTGATTCTCTGAAGGCAGTATTCAGTGAAGACGTGACTCACACAGTGAACCCAAAGTGATTTGTCTAACATTTGTGTGTGATCCATTGTGTTGGATTTAGTGTCATATGTGTGACTTCTTTTTGGTTGTTGAGTTTTGAAGATTGATTGTTGATTGTGAACCCAGGGGACCTTGACGGCGACGCCACAGACGACATCAACCGCCTCCACAGGCCAGAGGAGACGACAACGGGCGTTCAGTTGAGACTCTATGCAGTTCATTCAAAGTGAGTCAGAAATACTGAGTTGGTCACTTATATCCACTGCTCATTAGAATTAGAATGTCGTTTGACTCCAACGCTGTATTGAAAAACTCAAAACATCAATCAGTGGATTGTCTGGTCCAGACTTGATTATGTGCATGTTGCCTTCATATAACTGTAATATCATTGACCAAGTATAACAAGCAAAGCTTCACAGTCATGTTGACTTTCTGTTGACAGCTGTGTTGTCATTAGTCCTCATTCAGAGATGCCAACCTCTACGATGTTATTGTAGTCGCTACGAAGTTTAGCCTCAAACTACGCCAATACGATTGCACTAGAAATTCTACTGAAATTTGAAGAAAATTCATAAATATTCGAATATGTAGACAAAAACTTTTTTGTCGATTAAGTACATTTTCGCCAAAAAGAGACAAGAAGAAATGTAATGGAAATCTGGTGTTGGGGGTATGTGAAATTGAAGCTTACTCTTGATTAGTGTCATATTATCTTTCTCAGAATCTATCATGATTTTAAGTATTTAGTTGACTACTAATTTTATGGTCAAACTACTAATTTTGATCCTTGGCACTACTATTTGCAACACTTTGGGGTTGGCATCTCTACCTCTTTACATCGTGGAACTAGAGCACACTGTCACTTCCTGGCAGCAGTGACATAGTTGTAGTATTCAGGGTATCGTTGACTGTATTCAATCTCGCACTGACTGTTGCTGCATCTATCTCACTCTGTAGAGCTCTGCAAGAGTTGCTGATCCGCTACAGACCAGAATCCTCGGTGCCACCCCCCTCCACACCTTCTGTTAGCTCCATTTCTCACGATGAGACAGGTAGGAAATTAAAAATATATGCAACATTGATGTACAGTGTTCAAATTGAGCATTAAGCCCTTATGTGTTAGTTTGAGAGATATATACCTGTTTCCTGTTGCAGGTTTGCGTGACGCCTTGTCGGACATCAGTATGAGTGTAGAGCAGAGTCTCCCGGAAAGCCACGGCAGCAGCTCCTCCGCCATTCATGACAACTCCAACCCAGTGCTCCTCACACCTGATGCATTTACCAGTCCCAGTCCAAAGTAATTAGGCTCATTAGCATTATCCAGTTACCCAGTATAATTGCCCATGGTTTTCATGGTAGAAATACTGCCTAGTAACCCATGCTTGTTATTGTGACAGATAACAACAATGGTTAGCAGGGTCAACTTGGTGGCTTGGATGTCATGTAGTCATGTCATCATGTCATGTCATTATTTCCTGCCATGTCATGTCATTATGTTGTCATGCCATCATGTCATGCCATGTCATATCATCATGTCATCCCATGTCATGTCATGTCGTATCATGTCGTTCCATGTCATGCCTTCATGTCATGTCAGTATGTCGTCCCATGTCAACATGTCGTCCCATGTCATGTCGTGCTATGTCATGTCATGTCATGTCCCTTTGGGTCTGGGTTAGAATTCATCTTCAGTAACCCATGCTTGTCGTAAGAGGCGACTAACGGGATCAGTGGTCAGGCAAATGGATGACAAATGTCATCTGTTCCCAGTTGTGCAGATTGATGGTCATGCTGTTGATCACTGGATTGTCTGGTCTAGAATGGATTATTTACAGACCACCGCCATATAGCTGGAATATTGCAGAGTGCGGCGTATAACTAAACTCACTCATGTCCCTTTGGTGTCATGTCATGTTGTTTCATGTCATGTCAGGCCATGTCATGTCACATTGTGTCATGTCATGTCATGTCATGTCGTCATGCCATGACATTTCATGTCCCTTTGGTGTGGATCTTTGCTCATGCTTAAACAGTTTAAGTTGCTGTTTTTCTCTTGTGTAGACTGTGGTCATGGCTGGCCCACTTGTATAAGGCATGGCAAATTCCATCTAGCTCTGACTCTATTTCTTGTACTGTCAGCACCATATGTGTCTGAGTGCTTAACATCAGATTTGAAAAATTCAAACGCTTTTCTCCCACATAAAGATGTTTGACTGTGTTATATATCTGTACTGATCAGCATGTTCAAATCCTTACTCATACTCTCATGAAAATGTTATTACTGTTTTTTCCAGCAACAAAACTGTGTCAGTGCAGAACTCTTTGGAACATGTTCGAAGCAGTGGAACTATGGATCATGTGCGAGGCAGTGGATCTAGTACCAGTAGTTTCACTCACGTCACACCCATGAATGATGAGATCTACACCCCCCGGAGCTCAGCATCTGGTGACCGGACCGTCATGTCTCCAGGCAGTACCATCGCCCACACACCCTCCTCCAAGGGCGATGCCCAGTCTCAGGACGTGACGCCCACAAACATGCCACTCCCCCCCATAGACTCTGTGGAGGAGGAGGAACTTGCCACACCCAAGGGGGCACCAGAGTCGGAGAAAGGGGATGCTCTCAATCATTCTGCACAAGAAGTGCTGGATGATTTCTTCACCCAGGTAGGACCAAGTCCATATATGACAATAGGGTTCATGACAGAGTAGATCACTGAAATATAAAATCTTCATAGAACTGCGCTGCATATGTTTCATTACATTCTTGGTGTTTTTATATGAGAGAGATGTGTTAGATGGTAAACAACATTAAAACCTCATTCATTTAACTTTAGATTTCTGTGGCACAACAGAGTCACTGGTACCATGTAGAGTTCCTACCTGCCATTCATTTACACAAATTCATATTCCCCAGACAATGCATTCTCTTCCCACAGAGGTTACTTGTCATATCTTCCTGCGAACCTCTGTTCTAATACGGCCATATTTCCCGGTTCTCGTAAAATCCCCTAGCGGCAAAAGATCGCAGCACGAATTATCTCCCTTCTTTCTATCCAATCAGAACACGTGTTACATCGACTTAGATTCAACTTGACTAACACAAGCAAATGTGGGGCCACAAATATCCCCCATCTGCTGGGGACTTGTGTTGATATTACACACAACACGTTTAATGGCTAGCTTGTCCGTTGTCAACGAGGGCGATGGAGACGAAACCTGATCCGCCATAACATGACTGAGTTCTGTCTAGAAGAAACGTTTACGCATCACGCAGGGGTAGAGGTTTAGTTTTCTCGAAGGATACGGAAATTACCGAGGCCTTTCGAATGATCACTTTTGAAACAACGTCACTGATTGCACAACTAAATCTGATTGCCTCCAATCACGAGTCTTGAACACTCACACCATGAAAGGGCCGTATTAGAACAGAGGTTACGTAGGAAGATATGACAGGAGTTACCTCTGTGGGAAGAGAATGCAGACAATGATAATCCTAGAATATTAAGGATAGTGACAGTAAATGATTTTTTGTATTTTTGAAATAACAGCTCCCTGCATGCCCTTGTGTCTCCAGCCAGTCTTCACTTAAAGAAGTCCATAAGGAAACACTCAAATTGGTTGCTGAGACCAAAGCTAGGGCTAATGGCATAGTAATGGCCTGTAACCACTGCACAGACTGCTTAAGTGTAAGACTGTTTTAGATGTGATAGAAAACAGAGATGTTATCCATTTAACACATATCTATGATCTATTGTAACCATGGTGAACTGTTGACAGGGAGGGACGTCCAAGAGGTCAGTGGATAGCCAGTCCAGCACGGGGGAGGTTTGACGTCAGCGAGATAGTTCCTCCTCCTTCTGGTCAGCCTGAGGTGAGGCACCGCACTGACTACGACGAGAACGACCAGGAGGTGGCTGAAGTTCTAGGTACAACATTTGTTGCTTCTATGGTTATTACTGTTATTCCTATTGAACCTCCAGGTGTATGTTCCAGGGCTGAATAGTTCTGTAGTAATGAAGTTGGGGTCTGAGTCAAACATAGTGTCACCATTATGGGCTGTTATAAATGTAACTTGCACCAGATTTTACTTGAATCTGTAGACGAGATAAAGTCGTTCCATGCATAAATATCACGTTTTGGGTGAGCTTTTAAAACACTTGACAATGGTGAGCTCATTATTCTTTAATCTTTATGGTCTATAGGATTTTGATTACTTTGTGGATGTTTTTATTTATTGGGATACATTGGGTCTTGGAAAATATATGCCAACAGAAATTACATTGAATTCCACCAAACCTCTTTGTAAAAGGTATTTGTCTCAGAAAAAGCCCATCTTGAAGGATCACTAAACAATGTTTCGAAGATTTCTTCATTCAAAGATTTTCTTAACATAAAGTCTGGCTATCACTGTTTGAGAAAAATCTGTGTTTTGTGTCTGAAGTATTTTGTGTAATTTGTTGTTTTGTTTGTATCAGGTGAGAGTTATGTTGCTGCCGAAGAGGAAGGAGGTGAGGCTGAAGAGTTCCAGGAAGGGGAGACAACCGGGGAGGACATACATGTCCCCCGTGCCTGGCCCAAACCACCAGATGTACCTGGAGTTAATCAGAATCTGTCATCGGAGGCTGTGGTCCGAGACAGCAGGTAAGTTCTGACAGTTATCTTACCTTTTGTTGGTGGAACTTGAGGCTTTCTTGGTGTGTGGTGAAGGAGTATGTGTGTTTTGTTTGGGTATATTGAGGTTTGGGAAATAGTAAGACCAGAGCATAGTCACCATCTGGCATATACAGACAGGAGATTAGCAATCATTGCAGTGGAGGTCGCCCAGGTACTACTGGTAGCTACCAGTGTTTCAACAAAACATTTGCTGGATCTATACAGCTATTTAACTTTTCATGTTCAGAACTAGATTGAATGTTGCCTCCAACAAGCCAACGTATGTGCCAGTCATAGAACTGTTTACCTTTAGCTCAAGGGAGGAGACCCAGGATGACGACGATGATGATGAGGAAGAAGGTGATGATGGAGATGATGAGGCGGAGATTGAGGAAGAGATTGAGGTTGTTGAGGAGGGCAGCGAGGAGGAGCAACAGCAGAGCCAGTAAGTCCATAGATATAGGTACCTGAACTGCAGCAGCAGAGCCAGTAAGTCCATAGATATAGGTACCTGAACTACAGCAGCAAGAGGGGCTGTTGTAGCAGACCCTTGTGGGGAACCCTTGTGGGATAGCCTTGTAGCAGAGCCTTGTGGGAGAGCCTTGTGGGGATAGCCTTGTAGCAGAGCCTTGTGGGATAGCCTTGGAGGGAGCCTTGTAGCAGACTTGTGGGAGAGCCTTGTAGGGAGAGCCTTGTAGCAGAGCCTTGTGGGAGAGCCTTGTGGGATAGCCTTGTAGCCCTTGTGGGGGTAGCAGAGCCTTGTGGGGGAGAGCCTTGTGGGATAGGAGAGTGGGATAGCCTTGTAGTGTGGGATAGCTTTATTGTGGGGATAGCCTTGTAGAGCCTTGTGGGTAACCTTGGTCAGGAGAGTCTTGTAGTGGAGCTTTATAAGAGAGCCTTGTAAGTAACATGGTCACTCATCGCATGTCTACAAAGCCCTTGCTTCCTGAGGTAATATTGTTGAAATATTGGATAAAGTTACATTATACTTACTCTCTTTTGAGGATAGAAATAAGTTTTTCTTTTCACCAAACCTCAGTAATGATCCGCTATAGAGCTTTCATCTACCAGATGGTTGAAGTACTATCCACAAGGAAATGTCACTAGTTCCTAGTTTTGCAAGGCTCATACAAGTGCACTTATGGTAATTCCAAACCCTTAACTCATTCTCAGTTAGGGTTAGTGTTACGAACGCTTTGTTAAATGTAGCCCAAACTTTAGTAACATTAAATGAATGTTATGTCAGGTATGGATGGAATGGCAAGTGTCAATGTTGTATTCTTTGAATCAAGCTATAAAACTAGTGAATGGCCTGATGGTATTTATCTTTTTAGATACAGGGTACACTGGATAGTCAAGGAGTTTACTTTGATCTTTCTGTGTCTAGTGGGCACTCTTATGATTACAAAATAGAAAATTGTCAGTGAAACTGTATGCTGGATATGAAAAGACTATTCTTTCATTTAATCAAAAGGGGGCGGTGGGGTAGCCTTGTGGTTTAAGAATTCGGTTGTCACGCTGAAGACTCGGGTTCGATTTCCCACATGGGTACAGTGTGTAAAGCCATGGTGTCCCCTGCCACGATATTGCTGAAATATTGCTAAAAGCGGTGTAAAACCATACTCACTCACTCATTTAATCAAAACTGTGAGTTACAGCCTATCATACCTACAAAGGAACTGATTTTTTGTTTGTTTTAGGTTTGTATGACAGTGGTATATGGCAGTGGTATTGCATCCTGTAAAACCACAATCAGTACATGTGTTGATCTCTGTTCTTGGTCATGCAAGCTTGTAAGTAGCTCTTGTTTCAGAATGTCCCCAAGGTTAGCTGAAAGGATAGGCAAAGTAAAGCAGTCGCCACGGTCTGCGTATGGAGCAAGGTAATACAACTGTGACATATGACTGACTGCAGGCAGTAACAACATGAAACAATCTCTGGTCACTATCATTTACAGTATAGCTTTGAATGAGCTAAAATAAATGACCATATTTCACACAGATTCAAGATGAATAGTTGTTTGTGTTTCAGCGAGTCTGTTTCGGGGTCAGTTCGAGGCGGGACAGATCGCAGGGTTTACAGTCCGTTTGAGTCAATGAGGGAGGTGAGTGACTGGAGCACCTGTTCTGCCAGGAATGTACTGTAGACTATCATTAAGGACTACCCTGGACTATGTGGTCAGAGAAAGGACAAGGGTTAGAAGCACGTTCAGGTTTAATGTGTACTGAGCACACTATTGCTTGTTCTGCACTGAGAGGCAGCTATTATTAGACCAGGATCATCAGACACATGTTTTGATTATGATGAAATGGTGGATTGTGAGGATGGCAATATTACAACATACATAGTATTAATCACAGCTATTATTGACTGATCTGAAATGGTGGATTTCATTATTTACAAGCTGCTGTTATGTTATATTTAAGCTGCTGTTATGTGTTTTTGCTGAGTGCAGCATTAGACAACTGATTTCTCTATGTGTCTATGTTTATCTAGTTTGTACTTCTCTCACAACCTTGACCAATGCTCTGGGATTTCTGTGATAAAATCATAATTAACAAGAACAGGTCCCAGTCTGATATTCCAATCTGTAATATGTGACAAGGAGTTTAAAAGTTATATCAGCTCAGAACATAAATGTATGAATTTGTAACAAATTTACATGGCTGTGTTAGGTGTCCTATTTGTCAGTGTTCCAAGTGGTTGCTTATTACAGTGAATACAGTTATACACTGGAGAGAGTATACAACTTTCCTTCATTAACAATGTGCCTCCCTTGCTACAGCTGCAGAAGAACGTGCAGGACTTGACGTCACTGCTGCAGGCGCAGCAGATGCACATCACGGAGCTGCAGCAGCAGATCGCACGGCAACATGAGCAGCAGCTGGAGTTGCAGCAGCAGAAGGAGGAGCAGTGGAGGCTGCAGCAGGTGGCCGCCAATCAGCCGGGGCTGCAGGAACAGATGCAGAGGATCGAGGACGTCATGACGTCGCGTATAGAGCGCGTTCTCACGCAGCACCTGGGCAGGCAGAATATCCTTCATATCAGTCTTCAATACAGGATAGTTGCACATCATTAAGATAGTGGTTATAGTATTCAGTCTTGTACATTATTGTCATCGCAGTAAGGGTGCATAATGCAACACAGTAATCCCATCAAAAGTGAATGTTGTCAAAGTTATTCCTGGCGTTGCAGCGAATATTGTCATGGCAGTAAAGATTATAATGTAACCCAGTATCTGTTGCCTGCAAAAGCGAAGGTTATCAGAGATATTTGTGGTGTGGGGGTGTCATATTGGGAATGTCATGGTATTAGTATCAAGTATGTACCATACAGATATTGATGGAGAAAATGAAATCCACAGACCGACTTTTGAGATGATGTAATTGTCCTCATTGCTTGAATGTACCTGTCCTTAACGGGTGCACCTCAGACATTGCAAGATGTGATGACCCGCACGGAAGGCCGACATCGGCAGGAGCAGGAGAGGCTACAGACCACAGTTACGCAGTCCGTCAGTCAAGCCATCACCAACAACCTGGAGAGGGCCGTCCGCGCTGAGATGAAGAACACAGTGGTCCCAAGTGAGTAGACGGCAACATTATGCAGACAATGAGAATCTGATAATGGTCTACTATTCATGCTATATGATCTCCTTGCCTCCAGCAAGCCATAGTGTTGCTGGTCAATTAGGTGTAATCCTGTTACATATTCATTTTCGTAATTGACTGCCAATGGCCAAGAAAAAGATGCTAGAAATTCTGATGTTGCATGTTAGTGTTAGCTGATGGTGGGCCATGTTACTCCTGCTTTTCAGTTACTGGTTTGCATGGCCCAGTTTTGATTGCATCCAAGTCTCTCTGAATAAACTAGCATTAGCAACCTTTCACCCAGACATCCCATTCACACAAATACAGGCAACTGTTTATCAACTTTACAAGGTAATATTTCGGAGACTTGTAACATCTATAATCAGCAACACTCGCTACCTAACTTATAAATAGTTGTTGCATTATCAATGTTCTGTAATGCAAATGAAGAATTGGACAGTAAATTTTACCTTGATTTGTTTAGCGGTGACGAAAATCCTGGATCCAGTAAAAGATCAGCTCCATCAAGACCTAGCTCACAAGCTCACTGCTACTGATGCACTACTGAAAGACAATATCGCTAAGATGGTCAGGTCTCGGGTAAGTCATTGTCACTAAATCAAGTAATCACTAAGTCCAGCTTAGACAGTAATGGATCATTGTTCAAAATATGGATCACTGGATTGTCTGGTCCATTGTTTACAGGCTGCTGTCATATAGATGGAATATTGTTTGCCGTTAAAAACAAACTCTTGGGACTGTCTTAGTTGTATTTCTTACCCACCATCTTAACCCTGTGGGATCCTGGGTCATAGTAGGTGTGAAGCACTCTATAGGCTGAGTGGCCTAGGTCTCAGATTGCTATATCCTAAATACGGCCTTGTTGCTCTGTTTGAGACATAACATATGTTGCTTCAGCAAACCGTGGAGGCCATAGCCAATGCAACCGGCAGCGCTGTCCAGGCGCCCATACAAGCTGCTTACAGGGAGGCCTTCCAGAACATGGTGGTGCCATCGTTTGAGCGAGCCTCTCAGAGTATGTTCCTACAGGTTAACGAGGCCTTCCAGAGGGGCACCACTGAATGTGAGTATACGTTAACTGTGAAGATGATATTCGTTTACTTGTGTATTCTTTGAAGATGGGGCGGTGGGGTAGCCTAGTGGTTAAAGCGTTGGCTCGTCAGGCCGAAGACCCGGGTTCGAATCCCCACATGGGTACATTGTGTGAAGCCCATTTCTGGTGTTCCCCAGCCGTGATGTAGCTGGAATATTGCTAAAAGCGGAGTAAAACCAAACTCAGTCAGTCAGTCAGTCTTTGAAGATCTTGATTAGAATTGATCTTCCACAGCCCATGCTTGTCATAAGAGGCAGCTACAGTTTGGGTAGTTAGGCTTGCTGACTCACTTGTTGATATCCATGCTCATGATGTCAGTCACTGAATTGTCTGGTCCAGACTAATGTCATATAGCTGAATTATTGCTTAGCGTGGTGTTAAATAATAAACTAACTTGCGAAGTTAGGATTCATCTTGACCTGCTGATAGGACGATATTTGCAACAAAGTCTGCAGCAGATGTCAGTTGAAAAACCTGAAGGAAGAATATACACTTCTCAATTAAAGCTGCCATTTCTGGTGTCCCCCTGCCGTGATATTGCTGGAATATTGCTAAAGCGGCGTTAAGCCATACTCACTCACTCACTCAATTAATGATGATACAGTAAGAACTTGTGTGATGAATCAATCAAACTTGCATTTATTTCACTGACACAAGAACAGCAGAGAGGAAGAGGCTTGAATGCTTAACTTTCATTTATTGAAATATAAGTTAATAATAATGAGAATATTTATAACGCCTTTTCCCGGCTAGATATCCTGCTCAAAGCCCACAATCTGATCATTATTACCCCGGATAACCCAAGCTGCCTGTTAGGCGCTAGAAGGTTAATAGTCTCATGACTTATTTCACCGGGTACCCATTTCCTGCTGGGTGAACAGAGGCAATTATGAACAAATTCACTTGCCTAAGGTGAGACCACCGTGTGGGGCAGGACTGAAGTCCTAGAAACTCTCAGGAGTTAAGCTGCCAACACGGTCACCCATCCAAGGGCTGTCCGAGCCCAACGTTGCTTAACTTCAACTGATTTGTGACCTGAGCGCTGTGCACAGGACCACATGCCACCAGTTCAGTGTTAAGACAAACTGTTCAAGTAATTCTGAAAGTATGAACTTAGTAAAACAGATCCAATTTAATGTAAGAGTAAGCATTGAAGAATAAGTGTTTGAAGTAAGCATGGGCCTTGTGCTCTTTTCATTATTAGCTGTCAAAACCTCCTTTAAAGATTTTACTTTTCATCATTAAGATGAGAACCCATTATCTTGCTGTGTCATGCGCACTAAATGCTACTCTCCATACTCACTGTCCTGTCTTGTAAGACCTTTGTCCTCTTCTATGAGACCTATGTACCACTTTATACAACCTGGCTCCTGACTCTGGAGTACTTACACGGGCTTTAAACCCACCTCCCTAACTGTTCTCGGCCAAATGTATAGCAGTAGGACTGATTCAAGTCCCATTGTTTAGCATAGGCGTATGACAGTTATAGCATCCCAATCGCTTTGTGAAATGGGTCCCAGGCTCTAAAGATGTCTCTTGGTTCAATGTGAATAGCTGCAATATATACAGCTTCAGCGTTACTCACTCCCTCACTCACTCTATACTCACCTCCCCCAGATGCGAGTCAACTTGAGGGTCACCTTGAGCGTATCCGTCAGCGACATCAGGAGTCACGTGACCCCATTGTGAAGCAGCTGCAGTCACTGGTGGACAACTTCCAGGTGGCGTCCGGCGAGATGAAGACGGAGATCCTGAACACATTACAGTCGGAACTCAATACCAGCCTGCAGAATGCTCTGGCAAAGTAAACAACTATTAACTTTTCAGTTTACCAAGGAGATTTAAGGGGTAGAGCAATTAAGCATGCCATTCTTCATGTACTAGTTGACTTAATGATGAATTTTTGTCAGACCAAGTGTATACGTAAATATCAACAGTTACTTCACTAACTGGTGACCATGTGGTCATAATAATAGTAGTCCATTTGTCATGCACATTTCTCCATGTACAATGCATCCTCGAAGTGCCCAAACATTGTATTACTATTATCGTGGATAAACCAAGCTGCCTGTTAGGCGCTAGAAGGTTATAGTCACATGACTTTATCCCACCGGGTACCTATTTTCTGCTAGGTGGTCATCTGAGTTACTTCTGCCTGTACAGTGTCTGGAGCAAGCAGTTTTCCTATAACCATGTACATGACTGTGTTGTATGTGCAGTCTGCAGGAGAAGACCCTCAACCATGTGCGTGAGGCGGTGAAGGAGGAGGTCAGTGTGGCGGTCCGGGAGCATGGTGCCAGTCTCTCTGACCAGCTGATGAACTACGTACGGTCAGGGGGCTGCCACGCCGGTACAGATATCTCCTGACCTGGGGCACCTGCAGACTCTGAGGACGTCGGTGATCAATGCTGTCAGGCTTGGCAATATCAATGAAGCTTTCCAAACTGTGAGCATTTCTATCATACATTATTAACATTCCTGTAAGAGGTGTGTGTTTTGGTGTGAGTGTGATGGTTGTGTATATGCAGCTCTAGATACTTGTTCTGGATCTAGCTGTTGTTAGCTCAAGGGTGGAAATAACTTTAAAATTGCTAGTGTACTCCGGTACAGTGGCACATGTAAAATCACTTGCCCTGATAATTTGTCCACTATACCAGCCATTTTCTTGTTGATTTTTTAAATAAACAACATAATAAACATTGGAATATCAACTGGACACCAGTACAGTGTGATATACAAATTTGCTTGCCCGACAGAAAAAAACACTGGACTCGGGCGTCGGGCAATGGGTTATTTCCACCCCTGTAGCTGTTAACTGGTGCAGCATGTTTTCAGGGAGCTATGGATGCATGGAGTGTGATGATTATAATCAACAATGTGTGTATAAATATTTACACATCTGACAATGGCTACCCAGATTCCATGATAACATGTGTTGAGTACTCCGTGTTTTATTGAAGTCATTAAGGAAAAGAGATTAACTGCCAGCAGTGGCTGCTTTGTATGGATGAGAGACCTACAAGAAGACTTGTACCCCTATCGTGTGCCATTATTGCCAAGAATCGTGGCAAACCAATCGCGTAGCAAAACACATTTCGAAGCATGAAAATGGCAGCACTGTTGGACTTTGAAACTTCGCTAAACTATGCAAAGCACAATTTAAACATAAACTTCGAGCTAAAGGATCAGCAACTTTAAACTCTGAAACATATTTACAAAGGGAATGACTGTATTGCTGTTATCTAAGAGTTAGATAACATGTTAAATGGATGTAACTTTTCCCAAACTTGCATGTTAGCTGTTTGTAAGAAACAGTATGTGCACAGGTATGTCAAACACAGGTTCTAAAAAAATAGTACAGCAGGTTGGGGCAAGTAAAATCCAGACAAAGGGAGGTAACTGTTGTCAGACTGTCCTTACATAGTATGTGTTGAGATGGGGTAGCAGTTGAAGTTAGTTGCATGCTTGTTTTAAATATGTTTTTCTGATGACTGAAACTAGCTATTAGCAAGTTTGCTATTCAAATGTTTTATTTAGAAGCAACAGCGTGAATCTTTCAGTCATTTGTATAATTCCGGAAAATAGCTGTTTTCCATCCATGTACATATCATCAGCTGTTTATTCAATACTTTAAACCAACAGCAGCAGCTTCATCATTCTTTTTAAGTAAAACACATCAAGATATAAGGTAGGTCCGTATTTCTATAACGGTTTCGACTTGGAATTGCTTGTGAAAATATGAAGTATTCCATGTTCTTTTAGGTATTTAGTTATTCAGTATTGTATTTGAATAATCAAAATCTAAGCAGCTGCCAAGTTTTTATGCAGTGTTGATAGACCTGATTGTCAGGGATACATATTATCAACTCTCTGATCCAATTAATCTGTTGCTGTGGCTCACTTTGCCCTGTTTGTTTGCAGGCACTGTCGGCATCTAACCTGGATCTAGTGATGTTCACGTGTGAGAACGTGAACCCATCCCTGGTGTTTGGTCAGGATCCCTGCCCACTCAAGCAGCCAGTGCTTCTGTCCCTCGTCAACCAGCTGTCCATAGACTTCACCTCGCACACAGAGCTAAAGATCAAGTGAGATGTTTACCTAGAACCACAACCCCATCAGGATTAGGTTTAGAAAAAGTCCCAGTATCAAATTACTGGTTGAAGGAGTTGGATCAGTGACTTGGATGATTCTGTGTCAGTCGGCCCTTATGATAGGATTGTTAGTTATTGAGTCATCAGTAATCCTGGTCCAGATTACTGAGGGCCTCTGTAATATGGCCAGAGTATTACTTACTGTGTCATTGATCATATGCCAAGACCTCAACCTGAACATGTCATGTTTTGATCTTTTGATCCTTTGATTAACTCTCTGGTCCAGTGAAAAAAGTGTTTGCCCTGAGAGTGGAAGGTGATTGGTTCAGTCCCGGACACATCTTCCAGAAAGCCCTCAATAGATGGTACTTGTTCTTACCCTGCCTGCACAAGGGAACATGACAAGGACTGCTTAGCCTAGAACCTGTAATCTGTCTGAATCAGACATAAGCATTCAGGCATGCATGTCATGACATCGATGCAGTAATCTGAGCTGCAGCATCTAAGTTATCATCACAGTTTCACCTTGATGTGATGATTCTTTCACAGGCATTCTCTCAGACCTACCACTCACTAAGAATCAATAAGAAATTGTTAACCATTTCATAGCTGGAAATGGGGCAGTGGGGTAGCCTAGTGGTTAAAGCGTTGGCTCGTCACGCCGAAGACCCGGGTTTGAATCCCGACATGGGTACAATGTGTGAAGCCCATTTCTGGTGTCTCCTTCTGTGATGTTGCTGGAATACTGCTAAAAGCGGCGTAAAACCAAACTCAGTCAGTCAGTCAGTCAGTCATAGCTGGAAATAATGCTGACCTCAGAGTTTAACAACAAATAACAGATATTACAAGCAACATAAGACCCTGTTCTCTCTTACAAATTGATAACTCATTTCTATGACATTTCCAGATACCTGGAGGAGGCAGTGATTAGTTTGGACCCCCACCACCCTTTAACTGCAGAACATATGCATGGGGTGTTGAATGGACTAACCCAGAAACTGAAAGTCTTTATGGCACAACATCCCAACGATAAACTGACCCGATCTTTCAAGATGTTGGCAATGGCATCTCAATCGCTCATTACATGATGGAGTCATCAGTGTAGCGGAAGTGAAACGTGTCTGTGATACTACCAGCCCGAGACCCGCAGAGGAACAACAGTGGCGATCAACAGCAGTATTCTTGTGTTGCTCTAGTTAATTTCAGTTTTACTTATTGAAGATTTTGATTAGTTTCCATTGATTTGTGTGATGGTGTTAATCAGTATGTGACAAGAATCTGTGAGGAGTCCAGATAGTGCTACAGAAGATGGCTGTTCTGCTGTCTGTGACCGAGGTGAAACATGTCTCCTTGAACCCAGAACACACTCATCTGATGCTGAGATCTTAAGTCAGTATTTACCCAGAAACACAAACTGAACAGGACACAGATGCAAGGACAAGGTGAAGTTTTGACAGAATTCTTGTCTACTGGAGAAATAGTGCCAAATGATAAGGATGGTGCAGAACACAGTTGTTTTCATTATGATGTAAGAGGTGCTGCAAAGTTGTACAAGAATGTGTTGTAAAGAATTGTTGAGAATTGCCATGCTGTAAGCAGTGTTGAGCATTGCCTCGATGTAAGCAGTGTCGATGATTGCCATGCTGTAAGCAGTGTTGAGCATTGCCTCGATGTAAGCAGTGTTGAGCATTGCCTCGATGTAAGCAGTGTCGAGCATTGCCATGCTGTAAGCAGTGTCGAGGATTGCCTTGCTGTAAGCAGTGTTGAGAAATGCCTTGCTGTAAGCAGTGTTGAGAATTGCCTCGATGTAAGCAGTGTAGAGGTTTGCCTTGCTGTAAGCAGTGTTGAGCATTGCCATACTGTAAATAGTTTTGAGCATTGCCATGCTGTAAGTCGGTTGAGCACTGTCCCACTGTAAGCAGTGTTGAGCACTGCCTCACTGTAAGCATTGAACTTTGCCTCACTGTAAGCAGTGTCAAGCATTGCATCATTGTAAGCAGTATTGAGTAGTGTCTCACTGTGAGCAGTGTTTAGCATTGCCACGCTGTAAGCAGTGTTGAGCATTGCCACGCTGTAAGCAGTGTTGAGCAGTGCCTCACTGTAAGCAGTGTTGAGCATTGCCTCACTGTAAGCAGTGTTGAGCAGTGCCACGTTGTAAGCAGTGTTGAGCATTGCCTCATTGTAAGCAGTGTCGAGCATTGCCTCACTGTAAGCAGTGTCGAGCATTGCCTCACTGTAAGCAGTGTCGAGCATTGCCTCACTGTAAGCAGTGTTGAGCATTACCTCACTGTAAGCAGTGTTTAGCATTGCCTCACTGTAAGCAGTGTTCAGCATTTCCTCTCTGTAAGCAGTGTTTAGCATTGCCCCACTGTAAGCAGTGTTTAGCATTGCCTCATTGTAAGCAGTGTTTAGCATTGCCCCACTGTAAGCAGTGTTGAGCATTGCCTCATTGTAAGCAGTGTCGAGCATTGCCTCACTGTAAGCAGTGTCGAGCATTGCCTCACTGTAAGCAGTGTCGAGCATTACCTCACTGTAAGCAGTGTCCAGCATTGCCTCACTGTAAGCAGTGTTCAGCATTTCCTCTCTGTAAGCAGTGTTTAGCATTGCCCCAATGTAAGCAGTGTTCAGCATTTCCTCTCTGTAAGCAGTGTTTAGCATTGCCCCAATGTAAGCAGTGTTTAGCGTTGCCTCATTGTAAGCAGTGTTTAGCATTGCCTCATTGTAAGCAGTGTTGAGCTTTTCCTTGCTGTAAGCAGTGTTGAGCATTGCCTCTTTGTAAGCAGTGTTTAGCATTGCCCCACTGTAAGCAGTGTTGAGCTTTGCCTTGCTGTAAGCAGTGTTGAGCATTGTAAGCAGTGTTGAGCATTGCCTCACTGTAAGCAGTGTTGAGCATTGCCTCACTGTAAGCAGTGTTGAGCATTGCCTCATTGTAAGCAGTGTTGAGCTTTGCCATTGCTGTAAGCAGTGTTGAGCATTGCCTCATTGTAAGCAGTGTTTAGCATTGCCCCACTGTAAGCAGTGTTTAGCATTACCTCATTGTAAGCAGTGTTTAGCATTGCCTCATTGTAAGCAGTGTTTAGCATTGCCTCATTGTAAGCAGTGTTTAGCATTGCCTCATTGTAAGCAGTGTTGAGCATTGCCTCATTGTAAGCAGTGTTTAGCATGGCCTCATTGTAAGCAGTGTTTAGCATTGCCTCATTGGAAGCAGTGTTGAGCATTGCCTCATTGTAAGCAGTGTTTAGCATTGCCTCATTGTAAGCAGTGTTTAGCATTGCCTCATTGTAAGCAGTGTTGAGCATTGCCTCATTGTAAGCAGTGTTGAGCATTGCCTTGCCATAGCAATGTTGAGTGGTGGAAACAGTGGTTATTTGACACAAAGCTAACACTATTTGTATGAACATGTTCATTGTCCATTGAATGTCACTTGTATACTGCATGATCTAAAGTAAGTCTGACCATTGGAGGAATATGTCTACACTGCTGACCATGCGACCATGTCTCCATGTGACTGTACAGCTACCCATGCTGCAACACGGTCCTGTGGCACAGTGGAGCTGCCTCATTGTAACTGGGGAGAAGCTGTAATACTACTGAAGACAGCAGGGGTTGAGTGGAGATCATCCGTAACACCATGGTGACACTTCATGGACACAGCCAAGACATCTTGGTGACACTGACAACATGCCAACACTTCACTAAGAACAGACGCAATAATGACACTTACACAACACTTTTGACACCATGAGAACAATTTGCTGACACAACTGAGACACTTCCCGAACACCATGTTCACACTATCTACGGTACCTGGACACTACATTCAAAACTTCAAGTTCGGGGTTTATTCCATTTATTTTTTGTGATTAGCTCAGATTTGTAGATTTATGTAACGATTCCATAACGTCAGGTGCAACACAAACTTGGTTCAATAATCGTTGGACTATATGAATAAACTGCATTGGTAAGAATAGTAGGGTGGTAGAAATGTGGGATTGATGGAACATTGCCAAAATCGCACCCACGCTCTTAAGCTTACCAGTTAGGAAGGAAGTAATGAGCCCACAGTGCAGTCTGGCCTGTCAAAGGAGGCACTGCTACTGTGAAGCCATGATGACACAATAGGGAGGTCGTGTAGCCATTCTAACAAAACCTTGTATATCCTTATGTCAGTCCTGAATTAGTAATGTAGTAAACAGTAGTCACGGCTTGTTGATCTGTTGCGAAGTGGATGTGGCAGTTCTAGAGATTTTAAGTTATCCAATATATGTTTTATGTTCATTGTTGAAAGAATGTTGCTGAGTTACCATCAGGAATGTTTAGTTCTGATTGAAACTGACTGAGTGATAGCATCCTAAAATGGCATACCATTCAATTGTTTCAGTCAGAACTTTAGATTTTTGTGGATGTCGTAAATTGGAACAGCAAACAGTTAGTCCTGTTTGAAAACTGAGTTGTGTTGTGTACTGGGCACACTTGTATACATTGTTCTGAGTGAACAAGCAGATTTGCGGGAAGCAAGGATCCTTTTAATTTGTACATGTTTTGCTTTTATTTGGTGTATGTTGTACAGCAGCAAATGATGTCTGTTTTAACCCCTGCCAGGCCAACTCAGTATCCACATGTATATTGTGTATGTATTTTTTAGAAAACAAAACATCATTGATACATTTGTTAATAAAATCGCCAAGCATGAACTGACTTGTTCGTACATGACATGAAATGGGACACTCATGGTATCTTTGTTAATGGTCATGATAGATTAACTATCAATTCTGAAATACTGCACAAACTTGTGCAGAGTTGTCTGAAACCTATTATTATTGTTGGTTCGAATCCCGGTTTCTTGGTTTGTTATCGCCATACCCTTGCTTCTGGTTATCATGGAAAGCCAATGCGAGACCAGGATCACTGGGGACCTTCCTCTTACGTAAAACTGAAACACGTGATGTGTCATACTGCTTTCGGCTGTATTAAAGCCACTTGCATAATCTGAGAAAAGAGACGCTTAAAGAGTGAGAAGATATTTCTTGACCAAGAAACAGTCCACCTCTTTCTGAATATATTAGCTTGTCAAGTGATAGGCGGGGGTTCAAGTGCTTGCTTTTCACCATGACGGTTTTGGTTGGACCATTGGGATCTGGTCAGTAACACAGGTCATTCAACAGTGAGGAATGGTAAAGGGGTCCTACAAACTCTATCAATACTATTATACACACTGATGTTAAAAGCTTTAAATCTGTCTCACCCTCCTGACCGGTTGACATTTAACTAAAGAAAAGATCCTTCAAGACATTTTGTGCTCCTTGCCATGGAGTGTATTGTGATTTTAAGAAATATTAAGAGAATGAGGATAAAGAAATAATAAAACCTGTGCTGCATCTTAGGGCAAGGTCGTGAGTGGAAATAGTGATGCCTTGAAACAAATAAGGGACATAAAATTCACTGTCATCTTTACAGAGTACTCTGTACCGAGTCAAACCGTATTGAAAACTGAAAAGGCAAAGGTCCCTCGTGCAAAGGTCAGTGTGGGTAGTACTCCAGTCCACTGTCAAATATGGCTGAAGTGCTGCAGCCTTCTTAAAGGTCACATAAACCCTAGGGGGGTACAAATACATAAATCACTAACTGGCATCGTTATAAATGAAACCCCGTCATTAAAACTACTCATTTCGACCTTTAATTGACTTAAATCGACCTTTTAGACAACAGTGCACAATTCTCACCCGCGAACGAAATTTCAACCAATCAGAGCGGAGCGCCTCTGTGACGTCATATGAGGAATAGCTTTGAGAGCCGATGCAGAATTCATCTACATTTTAGGAGGTAAATTATCGTGTTTACAGGCTTGTATAAACCTGAAATCGTGACAACTGTTGTGGAAAATGAAAGCTATATGTTCTCACAATCTACTGTCATTTAATTTTGTCTCCTGCTTTGCCTAGTTTCCGAGTTACAACTTGTTTTCATAGACGATTCTGTCAAAATCGATTGGTGTCGTTAGGCCTTATTTGTATAATGACTGATCCAAATTGATCCCATTTCTGTGTTGTTTTACCTCGATATTTAATCATGTCATGTAAAAATCTGTTTGTATTCTCAAAACAGTGTCGGCCCATAAGTTTTCACATGCAATACAGCAATTAATACTCCTCGTTGTAACCCGTGTTAGGTGGTATAAACCTACACATGTTATTTGTCATCATTCACTTGATGGTCAGTTAATGAATTTATAACAGGTATAATTAGTGGTAACACACTTAGATTACCGACAAAGGTTCCCATTTGGCATTTCTTGTGTCTGGAGTAAATATTCAACATTATAAACATCGATCAAAGGATTAACCGATAACACGCTGATTGATTAATTACTTTTATCTTACACAGCGGAATTGTCAAAAGGTAGTGTTTATGTATGTAGATTTACTAATCTATACTGAATACACTCTGTCGTGTCGGTGTGTCTGCGTAAAAACAACGTCCTTCTTTCAAAGGATTAACCGGCAATACATTGATTGATTGCCCATTATTGGCTAACTAAATTACTGTTTTTAAAGAAAGGCGGACATTATGCAATTAGTTGCCAGGTGTGCTATCTTGGGTGACCAATGAGACTATACACCAATACCTGAAAAGATTTATCACTTTTTCGTATATTAAACTGTTAAAAGACACATCATTTGGAACAGTTTTGTGGATATTGATGGATACATTCCTCGAACAAGGTAATGGCCTGATATTGTTCCTATAACTTTAATCTGTTTTAATTTTAATATTTGCATTTTGTTTCTATTCATTTGTCGTAGCATTCAACAGAATCATTGTTTTCGCCGTGAAGTGTAATGAGACAGACACCATGCACTAGGGTGTGTGTGCGAATTATGATTCACATTGGCAAACTATAAAATGTCTAGATATTACAGTTTTGTTATAAATTCACTTTAAGTATCAGCAGATCGTCTGCTTTTTATTTAGTTTCAAAATGCATACAAGTGTGATGATAAACTAATTAGGATTATAAGACCAAATATAAAGACGCACATTGACTAGTATCTACATACTGGTGAGTGGACATTAACCTAATGGGAATGTAGCAAGAAATTTATCGCGCAGTATTGTGACTTCGACCCCCACCTCGCTTCCGTGGAAGAAATCGTTATGTTATAAGTTGTGTCATGCAAAATCCGTTTGGTTATGATTCCAATACATATTTAACAACGAGTAGAAAGTAGTCTTGATTTTCTAACTTGATGAAAACAAACTATAATCTCATTAATTCTAACAGATTTTTTTATTTTTAAAAATGGCGGCGCCCTGTCGGGAACATCCGCCAGTCTGAGGATAAATGGTATTTAGGTTTGTTTTCACCGAGTTACAAAATCAAAACTACTTTCTACTGGTAGTAAAATATGTATTTTATTGATGGCCAATAGGATTTTGCATGACATAGCGTATATCATAACAATTTCTCTCGTGGCAGCGAGGTGGGTGTCAATATGATACTACTTACAATATGATTGTTACTTCGACCACAACCTCACTTCCGAGGAAGAAATCGTTATGTTACAAGTTGTGTCATAGAAAATCTTTATGGTCATCAATCATATGCATATTTTACTACAACTAGTAAGTAGTTTTGATTCTTTAACTTCCGTGAAGCGATCTGAACACAAGTAAGATATCGTTTCAGGCTTTCACAACGCTCGCTTCGCACTCACAAACATAACCCATTTAGCATGAACTGCGGGGTCCTGTGGAAATCTGTGCATGGGGACACCATCGCCCGACCCCTAGGAGCAATTGACGACAAAGCAACGATTCGGCATGTCGTCGTTGATGTCGAAAATCATCAAAATGATGAGCGTGCTACACATTTTCTATACAACTAACTGAAAATCGTTCCTCATATGACGTCACTGTAGTGCTCTGGCGACAGAGTTACGTAACCTGTCTGTGGTTTCGTTGGCGGGCGAGAGGGAAGCAGGCGACTTTTTGGCCACTTTTAATCGCTCGGTATTAATTAACCACAAGTTTTTAAAGAATAAATTTGGTGTTCCGCATAAGACTAACCACAAATCTTTCATATGTAATGGTTAAAAGAGTAACAAAAAACAAAGTTTAGTGGTTCTTTAAGCCTGTTTCACTATGGTTTCCTAGATCAACAGGTTATGAAACCGTCCCGGGACCATTCAACAGACAGTATCCCCAAATGTTGCTTGAACCTTTTCTTCTTGAAGTTAAGATACCCATGGCAACCATGCCATTGCATGTGCAATGGTCAACTTTCCCCTGATGGCCTGCGTGTGCAAATACCGTGATGACATCTGGTACA